AAAAATGCCTCTTCAAACTAGGGTCGCAAAAAAAATTTTCATTTCTCATCAGATAAAAGTTGCCCAAACGAATATTACCGACCTGAATGTACAGGAAAACTGATACTGTTCGCGCAAAGAATCTCCGCCCGCGTTGCAAAGGATTTTTGTTCTCACACGATGTTCGTCTCCTATTCGCAAGTCGACCTTGTTCATTCATTCCCACGACGTAAAAAAAAACGTCGGTTTCCATTTACTGCATAACAATGTTCAGCATCTCTCACGGATTTTTATTTCTGTCGCGAAAGATTTTCACCGTCTTTCCTGTCGACGCGAAGAAACGGAACATCTCCGGGGTAAAAAAAAAAAGCTGGAATGTGTCACAATATCGTCAGATAGTTCAGAAGCTTTTGTCGGTCTTGTGCTTCTCGTCATCACGTTTTCCTCGATGAATAGATATGAAAATAATTTTGACGAAGCAATAATTGATCAAATCCGGGCCACTTGCAAATTATTTCTCTCGCCCAGATTGCATAAGGAATAACGTTTCATAAATTTACAAACTGTGCGACTGTCACCGACATTTTCCCCATCCTCGAAAAAATGTTCTCAGCGAGCTGAAAACCATTTTTTTTTTCTAACGAGATTATTTTCGAAAATTATCGTTTAAACTGCTGAATGTAAGCAGGTCACCCACAAATGCCAATTGCCAATGAACTTGATTTCAAGCTCTTGTGCAGACTACAGAACAAATACAGTCAAACCTCTCCCCGTCGATTTTCAAGGGACCAGCAAAAATTATTCGACTTGAAGAGGCTTCGAGGCAGGGAAAAATTCATTCTTATGACGGGAAACATGGAAGAATTGCAGGAAATTACAATTGACGATATTCTGGGCCTCAAATTGCTTCTTAAATGCGTTGACAAGATTCTAAACTCGGAAGCGGGGGTTCATTTGCCCCATTCGTCTCTCACTTCCGTTCAGAACACATGGTTATTTTTTAACTGTTTAATTTTTCCTTGTCATCAAAAAAATAATAGCCAAAAGACCTCAAAAAATTCGAACTACGGAGGCTTTAGGGGAAAAGTCTTTGCAATAAGGAGGTTTTTAAAGAATTTTTTCTGAGGAGATTGAAACAGGGTTTTTGAAACGAATTCGACTTCGGGATGTTCGAGTTATCCAAGTTCAACTGTATTTCAAACATAACTCGTACATTTAAAAGTACAGTGAGTGAGCTGAAAGACGTAAGCGATCACGTAAATTAAAATATCAATCCAGTACTAAAGAACGACTGAAGGCATTACAGTACTTGGAATGCACAGATCGCTGAAAGATATTACCATTCAACGTAATACATACCAGGAAGAGAGGAAAAGCAACCTTTCAGGATATAAAAAAAATAAGAATAAAATAATCCGTCCGTCGATGCAAATTTCATTTTATCAGCCTGGAAACCTTCGTTCGTTCGCGTCACAGGAAAAAGTACCAAGAAGAAGAGAGAGAGAAAAAATAGACAATACAGAATAAGATACACTCAGGTTGGTATTTCAATAACGAAACACTGATCAAACGGCGTACGACCTTGGGCAAGTATTTGTTTTTCCGGTCCCTCGCACAACTCAACCATGGCAACGTACTGGGTTTTCCAGTACAGTACAGCACGAGCACAGCTATCCAGCAAAGCGTGGAAATATTCATCGGCCAACAGACATGATCACTTCATGCTTTCGTAATTCAGAGACCCGAGGAAAAGTCGGGAGGGTGTATCAAATGATGCATAAGCCACATTTAATCTTGCATAACAGCCTGCGGGAAGCTTCTTCTATCAATTTTTTGAATTTAAAATATCGGAACAAAAAAAACGCTTGTAATGATGCATAACAAATACAACAGCGCCGAAGTTACGTTCATTTAAAATGATGGGAAAATCCAAGAAGTTTTGCAGAATTATTTCAAGGTACAGGCGATACTTCCAACAAAAATCCTCGACAATATGCGGCCCTAACTCTGCTGGAAATGCATTTTCCGTGAAGCATACAACCGTAATTTCACGGGAAAAAACGCTCACAATTATAATTAATGTACTGTACCCTCAACAATATGCGTCAGGATCCACAAAGTTTGTTCCAACGAAAATACAACTTAAAGTAGAAAAAACTGCATTATTTGCAACATCAACGGGTCAGTAAATTTAAAATCACCTCTGATCTGCCTCATGCCGTCAAGCTCACACCATTTTTTTACAAATTGGTCACAGATTTTTCCGGTCACGAACTGATCATATTTACGTTCCTTCTCGTATTTTTCTTTCTAAAAACCAAGAGCATTGTGAAGTTGTCTGCTGCTTCCTTGTACGAGACGTAGCGCGAGAAACGGAAGAAAAAGTTCAGTTAGGCTTGTGCAATAGAATAAGTAAGCGGCTTTACCTTTTCCAAAGGTGAAAATAAGCAACGACACAAGCCTCTTAAGGTAATATACTGTAGTACCGGAATAGCTGACATACCGACACTTTGTTTTCCTTGCGCTAATTTTCTTAATTCGTCGATTTAAAATCGTCTGGGTTTTTCGCACGCAAAAAAATATGAGCAAGAGTGCCTTTGTGCACACAAAAATGCGGATTTCCGTTTCTGGAGGAAACAGGACCTGGCAACACTGAAAGATGTACAGATTCAACTGAGGATATTTCCCCTTTTGTCTAACTTTCTCCCTTTTTCCCTGCTAATTTACCTATTCTACGGAAACCTCACACAATTTCAGAATTGTTCGCAATTTCCGTAAACGTCAAACGAGAGAAACAGTGTTGAGCTGAGCACGAAAATTATACGGCTTTCCCTCTTCGGGAGGTGAATTTCATATCAATTACCATCAACAGCACAATAAGGTCATTTAACTGATGCACAGCAACGCTAGGGTCACAAACTGGCCTTTTCTGTGCTTGGGCTCCATTTGAAATTTTGACTGAAACCCCAGAAAATCCATCCTAGCTCACAGCTTCCATACACGTGAACTAGTGCGAGAAACGAGAGAAACTGTGTCAAGCTGCTCACGAAAATGCGGCTTTCCCTTTCAAAGAGGTGAATTCAACCTGAACACCAGGAATCCTAATTTCATCCTCTTTTTTTTTTAATCAACAACAAGATGTGATTCGGTCATTTGACTGATGAAACAGAAACGTCAGGGCGAAAATCTGCTCTTTTCAAGCGTTTATGCTCCATTTCAGATTTTTACTGACCGCCATGACGAATTCTGCCTAGTTCAAAGCTTACATACACGTCAACTAGTGCGAGAAACGAGAGAAAGAGTTTATCTATGCGCACACAGGACAGGACACACCTTTCCTTTCCCAGGGAGGGGAATTTTACTCGCCAGCAGCAACCCAGCAACAACAAAACAGGAATCCACACAAGATGGAGAGACTGCCATGCACCAAGTTCCTTCTTATCCTCCTCCTCCCCCCCCCTTTCACCTTAGTTTCACTTGTTTAAAGAGCAGAGGCGAAAACTGCAGAGCCAGGGTCCCCGATACAGCGTGCAAACAAAAACCCGGGGAAATCGACACGGGATATTCCTTGAGTATAAGAGGGGGGGAGAGGAATGGGACTGCCTAATTTTCGCGTTTCCCATTCCTCGGGTAAACTTCAGATGTGTGACCCAAGCACGCGGAAATAACTCTTCGTGGAAACTCGAGGTAAAGAAAACTCACATCAGTCCTTTTTTTCCGCTCCCTTATACAGTACCCGCAACAAACCGCCGTGATCGCATCGCCTGTCGACTACAAAATGGATCTTGGGGAAGCTTGCAAGAAAATTCGTGGTCACAGTTCGCCGAGCGACTGGAATGGGGGACTTTATGAAGCCAGGATTCTAGTATAAAAAAGATACACACACACCGCACAAAAAATAATAGTATCGACCGGGGAATGAAGTTATAAATTTTCCCGGGGTGAAAGAAACGTTCGGTACTTCCACGGACGACCGGACAGGTTGGATCAGAACTGAATGACCCAGACCTAATTTTGGAACCTAGATACCAGAAGGCCATGACAAACACTGTTTCACTTCCAATTCTAAACCCGGGGCATTCAGAAAGTCATTGTTCACTGAAAAATTTTGCGTGCTCTACACTGGACTTTTCAAACCTTGAGTGGTACACATGCGGTTTTCGGTTTAATAACTGAGAAGCAATTGCTTCGAACAAAATATTGAAAAAAAGGATTAACCGATAATTTTACGCAAAAAATGCACCATGAATCCTCGCTGCAGCAATACTCAAGTAGACACTCGCTGGAGAGTTAAAAGCAGAGAGAAATTGATAAGACTCAGATTTAGAATTTAAATGAATTTGTCACACCTGACAGCGGGAGAACAATCTTCCAGAGCGATGAACGAAAAGAGATAATTTTCGTTTGTTCCACTAAGTCCACACCCAAATTTCACATAATGAATGATGGAAACACAAAATAACCCATCGGGTAATCAGCATGAAAACTTCTAGTTCCATAAACCAACTCACTTTAATACAGTACAAGTGCCAGAGAAATTTTTTTTCATAATTTCCGAAACGAGAAATCCACGCAGAATTTCACTCGAAATCAAGAATTCAACGAAAAATCACAACAGAGAATGAGAGAAAAATGTAATTTCAACCGCAAAGAAACGCCGAAATTACTTCAGCACCAGAAAGAGATAAAATGACGAATATTCCGGGGGTCATTTGAAACCCGACAACGGCGCAGCTATCACGTCGCGTTCGTCGCGGTCGACGCCTGGCGTCGAACTGAGGGCCCTGACGTCAGGGCAACCCAGTCTCACTCTCTATTCTTCTCGTCTAACGCGCCTCACAGACGACGTTCCTTAAGATACGGACTTGAACCCCGGGACTTGGACGTCCTCGGGACAAAACTGAGTCAGAATGAAGGCTTTCGAAATGCTCCTCACGGGATTTTTGATGAGAGAACATCAAAGTACTGTACAGGTACATTAATTGAAAAATCCGCCCAGTTGCACGGGTACTATCGGTAATTCATTTCACCTTTCGCTTCTCAATTTTCATGACAGGTGTCGTTTCTATTTCAAATCATAAAATAATCCGAGAATCATGTACTGTACAGCACTTATTGACGAATTTCAACAGGATGAAACATTACCCAAGATTGACTTAAATTAACCCAGATTGAATCCAATAACATTTCGGACACATATTTCTACTGAAAAGTAAAATCACAGACTCTGGTCATACGAAGGTAAATCGATTGTCAAATTAAAATAAAAAAAATTATATCTAACGACTGCGGCACTCATACTCAACAGATATTGGAAATTTTACAGGAGCTCGAAATAGTATTTAAAAATAATTGCATCTGGAAAATGTATCTCATTCCAAAAATATCTTCACATTTGTCTACAATCGTCTGTCTGAATTCAATCGAAATTCTTTGCAATTTCACAGTAATCATGAATTTCACCAGCGCACGAAGCGCAACACGATCAATATAAAACCTGAGATGAACATGAATCCGAATTCTACCGAAGTTAAAAATCGTCTAGCCAGCATTCGGAACATCACAACTTGATCCACATACCCGCGTATTTCAATCTAGGACACAAAGCAATTTGCTCGTCACATGCTGTTGATTCTCACCAGAATTCACGCGAAAGTACACACGAAACTGAGACGCAAGAGGGGAACAGAAACTGGAGAGTTTCACCCTATTTGTGTGGGGAAACGTCAACTGAACGTATGGTTTTTTACATGTTCCAATTATTTCAGCTGGACATGAGCACAACGTGGCGGCCTTGGGTAGCGAGTGCATCAAGCGAAAATGAATTACCGCGGTCTCTGGATAATAGAAAGAGAGGTACTCACCGTGAATGAGAAGCTCAGAGTCTTTGTTAACTTCGTACAGACGCAGCGCTTCGTCCAATTCCATTTGCGAAGAAATAATGCATGGGTCGCCTAAGGTGCAAATGGATTCGATTGCACGAAGACACAAATACATCGTTAACAAGTTACCCACCTTCTTCGTCGATCCATTTCATCGTAAATTCTTGTTCAGAATCGAATTCACAAATATCTCTCATCTCCGAGCTGAAATCGTCAAGCGCCACAGCCGGACTCACGTAGGTTATCATAATTTTTCTGCCGAATGATTCGATACAGCATAATGCATCACTGGATTTAAATCTACGTACACTTACCCATTGTAAGCAGTTTTCACCTTCACTTCCGCCGTATCGGAATCGTTAGGATCGAGTACGGTTGGCATTGTCGCTATGAACAGTGGAGTGCTTCGCTCGGACGGAAATTAAGTATCTTAGCACCGGAATCACTTTGGAATGCAACAAAAAGACGCACGATTCAAGGGAGCTACACTCATCTGTATCTGAATCAGAAATATTTCACGTTTATTTTATATTCAAGTTGTACACCGATCATTCAACATTGGAAAGGACGTCGAATTCATTCCTAGTGCGAGAATGAAGATGTAAAATATTGCGAAATTCATTCAAAGTCTTTTACCCCAGAGCTAGAATGCTACGTAATGAATGATGGAGATTAAAAACTATAAAAGTCTAAGCCTGTGAAAAGACTTCACTTCAAAAATCCTCGGTGTGGGGACGATCATTTTCACGGGTCACTGTCATGCCTCGAGAAAGTTGCTAAGCCCATCACACACAAGACAGCTGTACTAGTACGTAAGAAATAATTACATTTCTACAACTAGCAACAGCGTAGTGGGACTTGAAATCGGCAAGACCCAGAAGTTCTTTTCGACAACCAGAACAGTTCATACGCATTCCGAAAAACCATTACATCGTCGCGTTTCATTTCATCACTGTGTCCTGTGGAAAAATCAATTCTACGCAAAAGCAGTGTTGTTCAATTCATAAGCATTGAAAGCGTCAGAAAGCATCTTGTTAATTCGTGAAATTTGGTACGATGCATATCTTGTAATACGGAGCACAATATACACCACCCTTCAATTGCAATAAAACTACAGGCAAGGCGAAAAATTTGCCTTTCACATTTCCGCTAAGGGGGTGGATTCACAATCACTTTCCATCACAAATACTTCGATTCCAAGGACAATCCACATTCCAGCGGGGTAACACCTGAAATTGTGTGTCGGCGGCGGGATTCACCTGTGATACGGGCTAGCATGGAGCGCGCCATACTAGCCAAAATTACTTGCTCTGCGAGGTTTCTGGTCATGTCACAAACGTGGGATGTAAAATCAGCGTCCCAAGATTTTTTCCAGCTGATTGAATCTGGTCCATTATTTCACGAACCTCCATTAGAAATACCGTAAGAGATTTTGAATTTTTTAAATAAACCTGAAATACGCTCAAGATGGAAATTTGGGATAAGCCATTAATACATTAATACATTAATTAATACATACATTATTAGCCATTAATATTTGGTGTCATACATATCGAATGTAATCATGCTGCAAAGTGGGGTGCAGTATTACTAACATCTTCGAACCCCCTTCATAGAAGCTTCTTCGGAACTCATCAAATCGGATGGGTTAGAAAAAAAGCACTTTGATGGAGAAGAATTTCAATTAAATACAGTCAGTTTTTCATTCAAGAGGTTTTTATCTGATACATTAATTGGCTTTGAGCAAAGTGTCAAGTGTGCGACACGGAGGTTCATTTTTATATGTACTTCAGAATTAATCCACTCCTAAAAATTTTTATTTGAAGTTCAAATCTCTAATTTTAACAAGTCCGAAGAGACTATTAAACATATTAAACATTTAAAAAAGAATGCGAGTACTGTAATTACTTGCGAGAAAGGGGTTCACCAGTGCTGTACATGTGCTAATAAGGGTAGCTCTGTGATACGATGGCAGCCAGCATTGTCACCATTGAAGGGATGTCAAGTTGGGGAATCCAATCATTTTCAGTTTTACTTTATGGTGTTCCGAAGTCTCTGAGGAGATTTCGAATCTGTTATAATGCCTTATGGGTGAAAAGAATTATTATCCTTCGCGAAGTGAGTTTTTGGAAGACAAATTCCCCAAACTGTATAAGTTTCTGAGATCAAGTCATGTCAGTGTTCCGGTGAGCTTTTTCTGTTCCCTGAAGAAACATCGGCAGTTTAAAACTGAGTGTCTTGTGTGTTCAATGATTCGTTTCCACAGGAATTGTGTTTCAAACATTCGACGAGGCCACGTTGTAGATGAAATTAAGATTCTCTGCGACGGTCATGGGGCTCAAGTCTGATTCGTTAGAATGATGTATGTTCATGCAAGTATTTTTCGCAGTTACACTGCCTCGTACTTGTATTTTTTCTAACTCGATTCGAGCGTGCAAGCGGAAGATTTTACTGCGGCATGAGCTGCTTTGTGATCGACAAATTTTGGTGAACGGAATGCCTGTTAAAATATGGTGAGGACCATTTAAAATATATTTCCCAGTTGAAGATGATTCCTTACGGTTCATGCGTTGGCAAGTATAATATAATTGATGCACTTTGCTTTGCAGTATGGTTTCGGATTTCTTCTATCCAAGCATCGGAGGCGTGGAATCACACATTTTCTTCCTCAGTCAAGGACTTATTAAACGAGGACATAAAATCATTGTCGTCACTCATGCATATGGAGATCACAAAGGAGTTCATTACATGAAAAATGGTTTGAAAGTATACTACCTTCCCTTTCCAACGTTCTACAATCAGTGCCTTCTGCCGACGCTGGTTACTACATTACCTGTGCTTCGGAATATCTTCATTCGTGAAAAGATACAAATCGTGCATGGTCATTCTGCATTTTCTACCCTGGCTCACGAAGCTATGTTTCATGCGAGATCAATGGGTCTGAAGAGTGTCTTTACCGACCACTCATTGTTCGGTTTCGCGGATGCATCTGCTATCGTTACGAACAATTTCCTTCAATTTTCTCTGACGGACTGCAATCACTGCATTTGTGTTTCTCACACGGGGTATGATTCTTTCGTTTTTTTATTATCTTCGTTGATTAAGAAATTTCGATGTAAATAGGAAGGAAAATACGGTTCTTCGTGCAAAGGTGCCTTCAAAGAGTGTCAGCGTAATTCCAAACGCTGTGGATTCCTGTCTGTTTTACCCGGATGTATCCAAGCGAGATCCAAAGAAAATCACCATCGTAACAATGAGCAGGCTGGTTTATCGCAAGGGCATTGATCTTCTTGCTGGAGTCATTCCAGCAATATGCGCTGCATATCCATGTGTTCAATTTTTGATCGGCGGCGATGGACCGAAACGCATCGTCGTAGAAGAAGTTAGAGAAAAATTTTGCATGCAAGAAAGAGTCACAATGCTCGGTGCTGTTGAACAAGGAAAAGCCGTGCGGGATGTTCTTGTGAGAGGGGATATTTTCCTTAATACCTCCCTTACTGAAGCGTTTTGTATGGCGATTGTTGAAGCTGCATCGTGCGGACTTCAGGTGAGGTATTCAGCTATTGTATTATCCTTTAACCCATGATCATGCGAGGTTTTTTCCTGTTATTGCTGAAGATTTATTTACTTTTTAATGGACTAGTTATCACATGGCCTTGCAATCGAAAAAAATCGAAGTTAGCCTTGGTTGCCGTTCTGAATTACGATGGAAATTAATTAAGTAATTTAATTTTGCAAATTTTTGTTCACGTTTAGATTGATAATTTTTTATACTTTTGCCTTTGCATTTTTGGCGTATTTTGAGCAAGGTAACTCTTTGAATGACTTGATTCCAGTTGGACAAACGAAAAGATGTTTCATATTTTTGTAAACGTATTAAAATTACATGACGTTGGTTGAGTGTAACACGCTGGCGTAGGTTAGTAAAACGATTTCGTTGAACGAATGAAAATTAATGAAGTAATTTCATTTGGTGGTTTTTGTGCATGTATTTCTTGTGATACTTTTGTATAATTTTGATTTAGAGTTTTCGACGTTCAGTGAGAAAATTACTGTAACCCTCGAAGCATGTGAATTGATTCCAGTTTGAAAAATTAGAAAATGTAATTTTAAAATAAGTAGCGTTTCATATTCTTGTAGACATATCAAAATTGCATGGCACTGGTTGACCATATGGAACACGCTGGCATAGGTAAGTTAGACGATTTCGTGCTTTAGTATTACAATGAAACGGGTGCTGAAGGCTAGTGCAGTTTGCAAATATCATTTATCAAATATTCAAATTCTCATGCAGAGAAAATTTATTTGCAATGCGGATTAATGTTGTGAGTGACTCACTGGCGTGATTAGATCTCTCAGCCGATGTAAGGCCGTTCTTTGTCTCATGGAAACAAAAAGTATGAGAAAAGAACTTTTTTTTTTTCTTAGTTCACGAAATATGTTGCTTTCTAATAGTTTGGTTTTGTTCTTTTTCATTGGTGTTCTGTAGGTTGTCAGCACACGTGTTGGGGGAATTCCGGAAGTTCTACCGTCCGATCTGATTTGGCTTTCAGATCCTACTGTGGATGGTCTTGTGGCAGCAGTTTCGTCGGCGATTGATGCGAAATTGAACGACAAAGCTGCTCCTCCGAACGTAGCTCATGCGACTGTTGCTTCAATGTACCAATGGGATGATGTCGTCGAGCGCACGGAAATCGTATACAATATTGTCATACAAGATCAATTTCCGTTGACCTTTTCGGAGCGCTTTCAGCGGTATGTTGTTCAATTTATTTTTTTTTTTGCTTCATTTGGGCTTCTTGAGACTTTGAAGTTGATCGTATTTTCACTCTCGGTTAACCACGTTTTCTTTGTTTTCGTGTTTTTTCAGGCATCTTCGGTCTGGGCCTTATGCAGGAAAGTTTCTAGCCGGCTTGGTTCTTATTTGTGAAGTCCTACTGTGGATTATAGACTGGTTCTGCCCCCGTGAAAGTATAGATATGGCTGTTGATTGGCAGGGAGAATCCTGCCAGCGGAAAAATCAAGAACAAAATGGCGGTGGAGATGTAGAAAAACTTGAAAACTCTGCTACGTGAACGATGATGTGATGATTGATTCTTTACACCAATGACCGAAGTGTTTGTTCGTGAATGCTGACGAGAGCTGCGGTTTCTTCCTGTGATTCATAAATATGTTTATCTTGTTCTCTAGTCAGTTTTTAATCGGTTGAAATGAGAATGTGACGAGTTTCGAGGGGATAAAAAGTGTCCCGAATCGGACATGTCAGTGATCTCTGGCCAAGAAGTGCGGCTTGAGGCCCGTGGGGGCCTCATGAACGTTCGCGCATTCACGTTCCTGATTCTGTGGTATTTCTTCAGTCTATGCACGCTTTTCATGAACAAATATATCCTCTCCTACCGTGAAGGAGATGCCACCATTCTAGGTACGTTCAGCTGAAAAACCTGGTGATATTTCGTGCAAAAAAATAAAAATACTGTACAGTTTTCCTCCGTATTCGAGGGAAGTTCTAATAAATTTTACATTCGGTAAATACACTAGACTGGATCTTATTTACTACTGTACTATGCCAAATCACGTGCCAGAGGGGAACTGTACTTTCTGCTAGAGTATTTTATTTTCATTCGAAAAAAATTAAAAAACGAGGAATCCCTGGGATCTGTTAGTGTACAAATTTTATGACTGAAAAAACGAATAAATTCTCACTCAAAATTCGAAGATAGCGTAGGAAGATTTACGTCGCCTTCAAAATCTTCTGAAATTGAATATTTTTTTTCTGATGCTCGAAAATATGCTCTTCTTCATTTGAGTATTTTTTTTTTCTCTCAGGTAACTGCCAAATGTTGATGACGACTGCGTTGGGATGCCTGCAAATGTACTTCCCGTGTGGGATGTACACGCCGGTGAAGCGGAAAGGCAAACCGGCGAAGTTTTGGCGCAACATGCTTCTCGTTGGCTCAACGCGATTCATGACAGTACTTCTCGGACTCATTGCCCTAAACTATGTCGCTGTTAGCTTCACTGAAACAGTTAAAAGCTCTGCTCCAATTTTCACGGTGGTGATCTCTTGGTTGGTGCTTGGGGAGAAGACGAGCGCTGTTGTTGTCTGGTCTACCGTGCCGATCATGGCCGGACTGGCCTTGTGTTCCGCGACAGAGTTGAGCTTCGAGCTGAGCGGGTTTCTTGCCGCTGTTGCTGCTAATTTGACGGAATGCTTCCAGAATGTCTACTCGAAAATGCTCATCAGTGGGGACAGTCACAAGTATACGTGAGTAATTTCGAGTTTTCGAGTGGTTGGCAAAAAAGATTACTTTCCAACGGAAATTGAGTTTTTTTTTGCGTGGGCAAGACGCGCCTTAGTTCATCGAAATTGGTGTGGAATACTTCGTGTGATGTGAATGCTTAGCGAAATTAACTGAAATCAGTACGAAACTACGAATGCAGGGAAAACGTGTCTTCTAGAACTTTAAATGGAACTCGGCTTATCCCTTTTCTGATGCAATACGGTACTTATGCCCTACTGTTGACGTACACCAACATACGCCTTGGCGTGAGGCACTTCGGAAAATACGGCTGCCAGTGACTTCTACCCAAAAGCCGGAACAAGTCGCTATTCTCATTCACGAAGCATAGAATCTTTCATTAGTACTGTATAAGTGAAATGATCGGCATGATACATTTTGAACTATCGAGGTGACGTTTGATTGACAATGGATCCTTTCAGGCCTGCCGAGTTGCAGTTTTATACAAGCTTGGCGTCGCTGCTGATCCAGATTCCAACTTCGGCATTTTTGATACATTGGGATCATATAGGATCCTCCTTGGACGAATTTCTGGTGCTCACATATTTGCTCAACGGCGCATTTTTCCATTTCCAATCCATCACTGCCTATGTTTTGATGGACTACATCAGTCCAGTTACGCACAGGTATCGTTCATTTCTTATTTTCCATTTATTTCGTGATGATTGACGGTTTGGTGAAAATTTTCAGCGTTGCGAATACAGTAAAGCGAGCTCTGTTGATTTGGCTGTCGATTTTGGTGTTTCACAACCCCGTGACGTTTTTAAGTGGACTTGGAACGGTGATTGTTTTTGTGGGCGTCGTTTTGTACAATCGAGCTCGAGCCGTACCGACGGATGAAGAAGGCTGCAACCTGAGGGAGCATTATAAGCGGTGATTTTATTTTTTACCTCTACATTTGTGTGCTCAGTTTATTGTTCAAGGAATTTCTTTTTTGGCAGCTTCCCCTGTGAGATTTTCTGTACTAGTTTTCTAATTTCCTGAAAAACTTCCACGTTGATTGGTTTGACAGTAATCAACTTTTTTCAATTAAATTATGGAGTATGTAGGTGATTTCTTTAGAGAATAGTTTCGCACTAGTTTCTGTTTTTCATCAACGAAAAATAAAGCTCCGTTTACTCCTGTTCCAATATTTTTTCCCTTCAAGGAAATTTCGAGAATAAATTTCCTTTTGAATTGCATGCATGGAAAGAAAAATCATCTTACCATTTTCTTCAAATCTTGACTGTACATTATCCGATTTCTGGGTGAGGTTTAGGATAAAAAGAGAGACTGGTCGACTCCTTTTTTTTTCAACATAATTCGTTATGCCGTTGGATTTTAGACAAGACGTAAGTACAGTACATTATTTTTGCTATGAAAATAATTTTAAAAATCTCAAATATTTTTCAAACAATTGCTCAGGAAGTTCCATGTATCTCTTCTGTGTATAAACACGAGGATATGACCTTCGAGGTCCACATTATTTTCACGAAAAATGCAACGATCACTTTTACTTTCATACTGCTAAGCAAGGGCAATTGGTGTACGTGGGTTTTGATAATTTCTAGAATATATTCCCAGAAAAAACAGATCATGCGTAGTTGAAATAAAAATGCACATCCTCGAGGATTACGACGAGAAGAAGTTGCACCACTTTCCTGTCATCCTATGGGTCACAAAAGCATTGTTCACAGAATGTTAAGCGTGGCTCTTGAAATGTTTTCGAGTGTAGAATCGGGTCTTCAAGTTTGTTCTTGTCCTCTTATATTTTTTAGATTACGATCGGCCCTGTCGAAAAGGAGCAGAGATACTTTCAAGCGCATCAATTCGAAACTTGACAAGTCGCAATCGGCTGAGCGCATCGTGTGATGACGCATGCATGCCCATGAAACAAGGAACTTGTTTTGATGCAGTGGGTGAAGCCGCGAAGTGTGGGTGTATGGCGGCAGGTCCTGCTTTATTTATGAGTGCGTTATCGAAGCGCGAGGTTCCTGTGATGTGCTTTACTCGTGTCTGTTCTTTCCTCGTTCCGTTTTGTTTACAAGTTATTTTTGCAGCACTGCTTGTGATGGGATTCTTGGATTGAATGCTGTGTTTGCACTGCGTATCGTAACGTTTTTATGAGCTCGTTTTGAAATTTGGGGTCGTTTGAAGAGCCCAATGATTCGTGATATGCCGTGTGCGTCTTTGTAGCCCTGTGAGTAGCACAGATTTATGTTTTCCGTAATATTTGACATTCCCGAGAAAATGAAGTTGACATCGGAAGCTGTTCAGTGACGAAATTGCAACCTGTTCACTTTTTTAACATGGTTTTTTTGGTTTGATCGGTTTTACTTTTTCACGTGCATTCCGTGTTTATTGATGTTGTCTTTCCAAGAGCAGAAAATATTTTTGTCGGTGAGGCTGTGCTTCCAAACCCTGTGTTCTGGAGAAGTTCACGTTCTTCATCCTCGTCTATTTTTTTCGACTGTTCCTGAAAGAATGGCCTGAGAAAGATGCTGGAGTTCGTGCTCGGCGGGGTCGCCGCATGTGGCGCCTGCGTGTTTACAAATCCACTGGAGGTTGTGAAGATCCGGCTTCAGCTCCAGGGTGAACTGAGGGCAAAAGGCCTCTATCAGGTTTGAATCGATTCAATTTTCAATTGAGTTTTCTGCTGAAATTATAATATTTTCCGAATGTCTCTAACAAATCGTTCGTCATTCACTATTAATTCCTCGCTTTTCCTTGGATTTCGGTCTCAATTTTCGAAGTGTCAGCTTTTGAAATGGTTTGAATTAGATGTTTTGTTGTTCAGCATGTAAGAAATAGCGTTTATTTGCCTACAATATTTTCTCATACCCTGTCTAAATATCACCACTTCAATTGTACCTTATAATTTGTAACCCTTGAGAAACTATGTGCCGTGGGGCAGGTCACGCGAATTAATTACGTATGGTTTGAGTTATTATGAAATTAAGTCATTGTTTCAAGAATCACATTCGTTTCCTTTCCAGACCACTGACGATTTGTTGAGTTTTTTTTTTTTATTCAAAAGTGTACTGATCATATGATGTTGAATTACTTATTCCTCATGTTCTCTGTATTGATGAGTTGCTTGGACATGTGGAAAAGTCGCTTTTCCTCACCAAAGCCTGCCTATGTCTTGTGTGTTGTCAACTCAAGGTGCATTATAAGAATGTATTCCAAGGACTGCTGGCAGTCGCGAGAGCGGACGGAATGAAAGCTTTACAGAAGGGATTGATACCGGCTATGTGGTATCAGTTGGTGATGAACGGGTTTCGTCTGGGGTCCTACCAAAGCATGGTGAATGCTGGTCTTGTTCACGGTGAAGCTGGTCAAATTAGTCTGCCGCACAGTGTGGCGGCGGGGGCTGCTGCAGGAGCCGTTGGTGCTGTTTTCGCCTCTCCTTTCTTCCTGGTAAAGTTTTTTTTTAATATTATCAGTGTCCGGAACAGTACTGTACTTCGAATTCGTCTTTAAAAATGACTTGTATGCATCCTTTCTGTTGCTGGAACAGGTGGTGCCCCGCAATTCAACCCTAATCCGCTGCTGAACTTCAGTTGAATTGTCAAGCAGTTTAAATTGCGAGACAATTTCCAATTCGATGTTCTCCACATTGTTTTTAATGTTTTGCTTCTCTGTGTGGGTTGAATTGTGGGGCAAAGGTCGGATTGCGAGTCGATCTCCCATCAAATTTTACCGTCTAATTGCGGGGTGGTTGAATTGTGCGGAACTGCTACGAAAAATGACTGAAGTATTTGTGTTCATCCTTATGTGCACCAAGTATTGTTACAAGATTTCACTGTACTTCAACCGTATGACCCTGTTCGAATTTTTTAATATTTGCGTCTGGCTTGGAATGAGTACTAGGGACTGACAGTTTATTTTATTTTTTTCAAGGTAAAGACACATCTGCAGTCGAAGGCAGACACCTCCGTTGCTGTGGGTCATCAGCACGACGCGGACAAGATGTTGCAAGCAGCAAGAAAGATATATTCAGGCCAAGGAGTCGTCGGCTTGTGGCGCGGTGTTGGTGGCGCCGTTCCGCGTGTTATGGTCGGCTCTGCAGCGCAATTGTCTACGTTTTCCAAAGCCATGGAAGCTGTGCGTGGAATTGAAGGTTTACCGAAAAAGAGCTGGGTTTTGGCACTGATGGCAAGCTTCATGTCTGGTCTGGTTGTTGTGGTCTGCTTCACGCCGTTTGACGTCATCTCGACCAGACTGTATAACCAAGGTGAAGCTCATCATGACCACATTATTCCGATCATGCTCTGTTGTCAGAGGGTGGTCCCAATCGGTTTCTATTGTCTGTTTTCTTATTGCAGTCCTTCTTAATTTCCGAAGTCGATGAAATCCATTGGGTAACTGAGTTTTTTTTTTCTCGTCTATAACGTTTCGGAATTTTCGTACAGTGATTCATTATTCGCGCTCTTACAGTCGCTCTACGCCTGTCCGTGAGCATTTCTTGTCCTCTCCTGCATTTCTTGCGATTCCTCCGTGATTTTCGTTGCTCTTTCGTAGGTGTCGCTTGAATTTGGTTTCATTTCGTTTGTTGCAATGATGTTACATTTATTCGAATTAGGATATGTTTTTTTCAACCTCTGTTACGATTACCAATTGTATACCGAATAGTCCGAATTACTGACGCAATTTCATGCGTACTGTACTGGATTTTCCCAGTCGGGGGCTCAACTTACTGAAGAATTGCACGCAATTTGGAAAAAATGAAAGTAAAATACTGTATAAAATATAATAAGAATGAATAATTATGATGGAAATATGAAATTAATGGAAAGCTATCGAAAGAAAACTTTGATGTACAGTGTTACCAAACGATACTTCAATGATATACTGTATAACGAAAGTTGAACTACAGTACTGTAGAAGTGCTTTCTGAAAGCGGTGAAGAGTCCAATACACTCGGAAAATTGCATCCTTGATTGAAGTTCGAGCAACTGATTAAACGCGAATGCTACCGTATATTTTAATTGGCACAATTAAGAAGAAAGTTTAAAAAAAACAGTCTGGTTCAGGAAACAGGCGGTATGTTAATACTGTACTGTACGGTATTTTTATATCACGTCAGCGATTCGGGTGACACCTGCTGGATGTTTGAAGAACTTGTTGTAAATCGTATGTTCGTGAAAAAATAACCATCGTGGTAATTTGATCTAGTCTTCCGTTTATTTTGGCGCATTCAGAGTGAATCAGACACAACTCCTGATTTTAAGATTTTTCCATGACTCCAGGTGTCGATGCTCGAGGGAAAGGACTGATGTACGAGGGAATTTTGGACTGCGCGAGGAAAATCATGCATTCGGAAGGATTTTTCGGGCTTTACAAAGGCTGGACGGCGAATTATCTCAGAGTCGGACCACACACAGTTCTATCTTTGGTCTTCTGGAACGAACTGAGGTACATATTCTACAACTCACAGGCTTGTTGAAAACTTGAAGGAATGTACTGTATATTTTTTCGTCGGCGTGTAGTTGTGGGATTTCTAGTTCAACGGGTACGCTTGAGAGCACCCAAAATTAGGCAGTACATGCCTAGAAGTTCCATTTATTTTTTCCTCTCCGTTTGTGTTGTGTTCTTGTTCAGCATCGTTTTTGACCGCGTTGTCTTTGTTCTTGTGGTTCACGTTTCTGAATATCCGGGAAGAGGAGTGCAATCTGCCGTTCGTTATTGAGATACAAATTGCAAGTCTGCATTTTTTATACATGTACCGCGTATCCAAGCACGGTTGAGATGCAGTTGCATGATTGAAATTGAATGTTTGAGCATGTTATTGCTTGAATAGCTAAGCGTAATCTGCTTACGAACTTCGTATTTTCTTTTTTTCGTCTGGCGATTATCTGAAATCTTTTGATTCAAATGAAAGCATTTCGAATGGTTTTCGTGATTCGCGCGTTTTATTGTCTTTTTGGATTTGTATTTTATTATGAAAAAATTATTTTTGCTTCAATTAAGTGCTTCTGTCTTCAATTTGTTATGAGTTGCACGTTTTTCTCACTCGAGTCAGAAAAAAAACTTGCTTTACGTCAATCTCACGTGTTGGTAGCTTCTAGCAAGTGAATATATTCGGATATGGCTTCCTTTTTTACCTGTCATTCGAATTTCGGTACTAAGCCCGCCATGACGTACTTAGTACTGCAGACATCAGATGTATACTTTTTTTTGCTGTGCAAGGGTCTGCTTGTCAGTTTTTGGCTGCTGTGTGGCTCAGGGTAATGCAAAGTGTTTTCAAGAAATTAAGCCAATCGAGAATCGGAAAGTGAGATTTTGTACTGACGTCTTCAGTAGCTCTCGCTCGGTGGACTTCGTGCGAAACTTGTTCGGGACGGTTGAGCGTCGAATGCAATTGACTAATGATATTTTCTGCGAATGTGTTGAAAGAAGGTGACTCAGTGAAATGGAATTGTTTGTGGGGTGCGAAATTTGTTTCTGTTCTTTCTTTAGAACATTTTCCCGAAAAATTCACCCATGAAACATTCTTCATTTGCTTTTAATAATCTCTTGGTTGGAGCGGATCAAATTCAGAAGATATTGAATTATTTCTTATTGGAAGCATTTTGGTGCTAACAGAAATGAGAATCAACATTCTTCCTTTTCTTTGAGAGGATCATGCAAATCAACTGTCACCAAGTTTCTACACACAATTTTGCAGTTGCAGTTTTGACTTTTTACCACCCAACATTTTCAAGACTGCTATTGGTACTGCAATATTAGCAAGCTTTATCTTTTTTCAGATCATTACATTTGTCTGGGCTTTTCTTGGGTTTATTAATGAAAGGCTTATAATTCACATGCTGATACAGTGAGACCCTGAGATGCGGACATAATTGGTGCATCTAGAGTGTCATCCCTAAGTTGAGTCTTGTTTTCCCATAGACTTACATTATATGATTTTTATTTGATGTTTTATGGGAGAAATATTCTTCAGAATTCCCTGGAAAAATTTATTTCCCTCTTGAATTTGAATTAATGAATACATTATCAACTCAATAGGAACATTTGGAGCATTGAATAGTTTATCTCTGCACTGTACATTGAAATGTTGGTATGCTCAAAAATAACATTCAAGAGAAAAAAAATGTAGAAGTCCCTCTATGCTGGAGGTAACTTTTTAAAATTAGCTAAATGGATGGAAAATTGGTGAGCAAAATGCCCAAGAACTTTTCTTACATCAATTTTACAGTTGGAAATATATGTTTCTTGTAATATGGCTTGAAATGTATTTGCAATTTTATCACAAAATGTCCCTAAGTCAAGTCAGTGTCCTTGTGTTTGGCCTTTTTTCAGGGAAAATAAGTGTCCCTATGTCAAATTGTCTGGACGAGGTTGAGGTGTCCACATGTGGTGGTCTCACTGTACAGTATTTCATACCATTTTCCCAAGTATACTGTGGTTCTATTTAACATTATTGCATTTCTGTATAGTCAGATTTGTGTAATGAATAGAATAACTAAGTTTTAGAAGATGATCTCGAGGTTTTTTAAACTTTGATGAGGAAAATTTCCATATTCTGGGAAATTCAGGGGACTTCAAGCATTTTTTTTCTGTCTTATTGATAAATTTTAGGAGAGATTATCCAGGGCCACGCGTAATCTCATCCTGGTTCTTCGTTACAGCACTCCCATGTACGATGACTCATGTCATGTAAAATGCCTATATATAAGAATTCATTAAGATTATTAATGATATCAAGTATTCAGATTCTTTCGCCATCTAAAATATATACAGTACATAAAGTTTTTTTTTATTCTCTGGTCTATGAAATCTAATAATCAGACGCATTTAGGGCACATGTGATAGACGTTTTCAAAGTCATGCCCTCGGCGTCATTATGAAGATTTATGACAGAATTGTGCGTAGTCATATTGCATTGTTCGGAGTCAAAACACCCATTTATAACCCTGCATTGATCGGGTTTATTGCGTAAAATCGATGGAATGTGGGTAACCGAAAATATCCCCCTTCCTGATCGGATTTTAATCGACATCCGGACTCATATGCTTCGATAATCAGTGCAGGGATATTATGAATTCAAAACGCCGGAAGAATTGGGTGCTGGATAAAATAGGAACTGCAAGAGGTAGAATTAAAATTAACTCATTGATTTCAATTTCGAGAGATAAATTAAGGTGAGACCTGTTTTAATATTCGGATCATTGTCGAAAATAGGGAATTATTTCAAGCAACACAATGAATATGATCGGCATTGGCATTCTTTGACGGGCTGCGTATTTTTATACAATAATCTTAAAGTGCTCGCGGTACAATATACAGGATTAAACTGAATCAAGGTTGGAAAATTCACAGAACAAAGCGGACTCCTTCCACAGTAAGAAAAATTTTCTTCCGTAAAATGCGAATAAAACTATATAGATCCATTAATTATTTTCACCATGTTGGAAGCTTCTATTCATTCCAAAATTTTGTACGGGTGAAATTTTATTTTTCTCTGAGATTTTCTCCCCACAGCAACTGATCGACATTTTCATTTTTGCCAAACGTCGTCAACGACGTAACTTTTCAATTGCCAGGATGAATGTCTGCAATGTTTTTTTATTTGAATTATGTTATTATTTTTTATACTGTGCAATTATAAATAAGGAATATGGCAGACGATTTTTTTCGCCACCTTCTCGACTAAAAACGCGACATTTCTATTTTGGTACGATTTATAAAATATAATTCCGTGTCTCTCAAGGTAGAAAAAAGTTCAACATTCCACCCCTTTTTTGATTGATTGGTCGTCAGGAGAAATTGAGGAAAGTTAGACCATTTTCCGAAATGAATTCGCCGCGAGCGCGGGGATTACAAAAATGTTCTCATTTATTTTTGTCGTCCACTTATTTTGTCAAAAGTTATACAGAATGTGGTTTTAAAAAATTAAATGACTTGGAAATTGCGTGTCTTGAGACTGTCGAATATACAATACCAGCAAGTCTCAAAGGTTAAGACCGAGAACTCGGTCGAATATCATCCACAATATTAATCCCAAAATACTTCAATCGAGGCATGTGTATACGTATTTCTTATCCCATACGACTTTTCTAACCTTTGAATAATATCATAGCATATATCATCCAATCTTGCACTTGTAAAGCCCCATTACGTAATTACAGAATATGTATAACATGGGCGTTTCACCATCCGTATCTCAATGTAAAGTCGAAGTATCATCAATATTTCGAAAGCCGATCGACAAAGTTGCACCTCGCCATACATCAGTAATTGCACGGTCACATAATTTATTATGAATGACGAGTTCAGCGTTAATTTCACTAGAATTTCAGGGAATACAAGGTTTTCACGGGCAGGGCCAAAAATTAAATCCCGTTTTCCCCCGGCCTGCATTATTCTCTTCCTTTTGAGGAACTTATTCAAGGTTTCCAAATTTTAATCTCCCAAAACTATTCTGAGCTTCACGCGGTCTGCTGCTGTCGCTCATCATTAGAATAAATTTTTGAGGAAGGGAACGAAGTAATATTTACAGAATACTTGAAAAATGGACGACGACGTTGAGATGACGGGGTTCAAGAAAACCCTGCATTTTATTGCGGAAGAGGAACTTGGGCCACCAGGAAAGAATGATGCTGCCGTCGATGACAATTCGGTGGCCGAGTCGTCTGAGGAATTGTTCACCGGGGAAAAGGGCATGTTGGTGCGAGAGATCTGCTACTTGGACCGAGAGGTACACTAGCGACATCTATGTTCATCTCGTGCGAATCCTGAAGACCAAATCAGCTTGCATATGGAACTCTTTTGGACTCCATTCTATACAGCAACAATCTTGTTGACAACGAATTTATTCTCTGTTTGAAGAATTTTGATTTGGTCCCATGGGGTATCTCCCCAGGTTGTAGGGTTTATCTATACAACAAGATTATCTTTACAACGAATTTTTTTATTTATCATCCCTTGAGTTTTGTTGTTGAGTCCACCTGCATACAATCCAAACCCCATTGAATGCTTGGATGGCAGCAGGTTAAATTCCATCCTGTGGCAGTGCCAGGAAAATTTGTGCATTTTGGTTTAATCAAAGGTCACCAAAACAAAGATTTGGCTGAGTAGCTGAAGTCTGGAAAAATACAGGGAAGGTAACCCATTGTGTCTTAAATCCCTCAATGCTAATCCATTGAAAGGAATGTGAAAAATGCCACAAAGCAGCCAAGGTTTAGGAAAATTTTACTGCCAAAAAATGGAAAAATAGAAATTTTCCAGACTTTGTCTCTCTCTCTGCTGATCATACCCTTTTTTATATGCCTTGTGGCACTACATTTTGCAAATAATTCCTGGCACTGCTGCCCAAGGGTTAAAACCCCTCCCCCTCCCAATAAGCCGCCAACCTGCATGGCAACTGCCAATTTATTGGGAAAAACAAAATTTTGCCTAATGATAAAAACATCAATAAATAGAAACCCTCTTAAAACACCATCCACAAAAATTATTGACTAAAATAATATGCCCCTGGCAATCAATTTTGTCTTTTACCAATTTTGATACTTGAAAATTGGACCCAGCATTTTCTGCCTAAGAATCTGCATACAAAAGAGCATACTAGTGTATTTTATGCTCTCCAGGAAGGTATGTGACTTATTTCAAAAATAGAAATTTCATTATTTTTGGCATGTTAAAATTTAGGCTCAGGCGCTGAAAGAGCAGCTTTCAGATCTGGACGACATGCTTTTGGCATTGAAAGCTGGGTTTCGGTACAAGAATGGCTACTTGGACGTTCCCGCTGATGTTTGGCACCAGGTATTTAATTTTTTTTCTTTGCTTGTGCAAAAATATAAACTGAGTGCGAATTTTTTTGCGTAAATATTTATCCGGGGAAAAAATACATTTATATTAGTCTGTCATCGAAATGTTTGGGGAAGAGTATGAAAAGGACTAAAAGACAATTGTCTGGGAAAAAGAAGAAACAATTTACCGGCATATTCTTCAAGTCGAAGCAGATGATAATAAAAAATCATTTGATTTTCACATGTAAAGTTAACACAGTTGTATCTAGTTTTTGAAAAGTTCGATGAATATTTTCAGGTTCTGTTTTTATTGCTGCTCTTAATACAATATTTACTAATGAAGTTTTTCCTGCTTTCTGAAAATTGCGCTTATTAATCTTCTTTTTTTAACTTGCGCGGATAATTTTGATTGATCCTTTAGAGTCGAAGAAGCTTTCGTTAAAATTAGAATTTAAACCACGGATTAAACTTCGAAATTTTGATTTATTTTAGAGAAACGCGAGTTGTCAAAGTTTATATACTCGGATGAAGTTTTTGTTTTGTTTTTTAAATTACTGAAGCTCACCTCTGGGGTTTTATTTTTGCTGGCGATTTTTTGAAGCTATATTTTTTTAAATAACGCAGATCCTCGTCGACTTTAAAGCAAATGTTCTGAGACGTAATAGAACTTCAAAACGTTCAAAATTACAGCGAAACACATTTTTCCGAATCACCAAACCTTTCAAGAATATTGCCGTCATTGGATTTCAATAGATCTCTTTCGATTGTCTCGGGGATTTGGATCAGTCTTCAATTCTCAAGACACATTTTACGAGTGCATGTCTATGATGTCTCGAACCCCGTTTTCTGTCACATTTATCGGTTCTCGATTATTTATCATGCTCACTCTGTCGATTGACCTTTGACATCCTCTTTTCTTATTGGCTCGAGCACTTGCGAGTCGATCATGAAATTCCCGTGATATATTTGCTTGGTTCTGAGAGGTGACATTTGGAATATGATGGTGCTTCAAACCGGGAATTCTTTGAACGACAAAAATCCTTTAAACAATAGAACCAGCAGTGTTTTGGCAAGGAATGATCCATTTGAGGATTTTTTTCCCCCAGGCAACGAACCGATGTTTTGAGGAATATAATGTGTTGACTGAGACATAAACAGTAATTGATGACGAATGGGTCGTTCCAATTTTGTAATTAAAGCGTCAATTTTTTGCTGCTTTTCGAGAAAGATGAGTCGATTTACAAAATAGTGCGATAATAAATTGTAGTGGTGCTAAAAGAAGAATTACCTGTTAAAATGTTTTTCGTTTTTAAAATGTCTGCAGACTCTATAAACGACATTTTTCTGATGTGTCAAAAGAAAATTCAGAAGTTGAAAAAACGTAGAAACGAGACATTTTTCTCGTTTTTAAATTGTCTGCTGACTCAACAGCAGACGACATTTTTCTGGTGTGCCAAGAGAAAATTCAGACTTGGAAAGAAAAACGTCGGGAAGACTGCAAATAAAATGCCTCAGTTCAAAAAATTCCCAAGGTTAAAAATTCCTAGCGGCGACAAAAAGCAGCGATAGGAAAATTGAGAAAATTTGGCACAAGTTAGACAGCGCAGCAGAAAACTCCCAATATCAATTTTTTCGCAAAAGTAAAGCATTTCATAAAATTTGTAAAGCATAACTTATCTTTCCCGTCAATTTTTCCACCGCGACGATTTTTTCGTGCCACCAATACAAAAGTTGCAGTTTCGAAAACAGATTAATTTTCTTTTAAATCGTGTTTTGGCAACCCTGTGTCCTGTACAAAAAAGCCTTCCGTTCGACATTGAATCGGGTCAGTGTATGTTTTATTATGTGGGACCCATGTGTATTATTTTTGCAGGTGTTCGATGCATATGCTGATCCTGACCCAAAGACGAAAGCGTACAAACAGAAAGAAGTTGAGTTGAAGCAAGAACTCGATTCTTTGACTGCTGAACTTGCTGGTTTGCAGGAAGAATCCATCAAACTTTACAACAAGTAATGATGCATATTTGTCCCCTCTATTTTACCACTGATTTTCAATCGAATAAAGAATGATTGTGAAGAATCGATTGGGATTGCTATATTCAGCAAAATAGCGACGGGAATGCATTTTAAAAATATACATCTTCGTCATGACAGTCTAAAATGTGCTCTGAAGTTTCGAAACGCTCTTTTTTTCGATTCAGAACATTTCAAGTTTAGCTTCTGCCGTGGTTTTCTAATCAAATGTGCGTGTGCTTATTTTGCCCATGATGTTTTGAGCAGTTTCGATTTTTTCAGATTTTTAAGAATTTTTTTTTCAAACCTTAGGGAGGTTTTTTTTTTTCAAAACATACTACTTCAATCTTGACTTGGGGAGATTCGAGTTATTGTACTCAATTATCAATAGCGTATATAATTATGGTAACAGTCATTATAATTTCTTTTTAGTTACAAGAGGGCGTCCGTAATGGATCCGAAGCGAGCTTTGCTGGCGGCTGGCGGCGAGAAATCCAATGCGATCCTCAAGGAGACCAGAGAGGTTTTGGGCGCCATCAAAGACGTGGACGCCCGTTTGCGAACGACCCATCAGAAGACGAACGAGGTCATCTTGGCCTGGGACGGCGGCTACGCTTTGCAATCCGTCATCAACGAACTTGCCCGTTTCCTCGACAGAGGTATAAATCGGGTGTTTTGCAGAGGATCTTCTCTTCTGTTACAGATTGTATTATTGTACATTAAAATATTGTATATACATTATATTGAAAAGCAAAACAGAATTACAATATTGATAAAAAATTGAAGTACTGTATTTTTGCGACAAAGTCAGTTAGAACAGGCAAATCCTTATTTGTGTACAATATATGCATGTATTCAAAGTTATACAGGCGGACTCCCTCTACAACGAAATTCCTTCTGCAACGATTTTTTCTGCCTCATTGAATTTTGTTTACTAAATTTATACAGGCGGACTCCCTCTCCAACAAAATTCAAAATTCAAAATTTTGTTGTAGAGGGAGTCCGCCTGTATAAATTTATTAAACACAATTTAATGGCCATAAAAAAATCGTTGCAGAAGGGCCATAAAAAATTGTTGCAGGAGGAATTTTGTTGTAGAGGGGTAGATAATAAAATTTTCCACAAAAAAACGCGAATAATGATTGCTTTTTTTTTTTTTAGCTGTTGACATATCCCCAAAGACGATCCCACCAGCTTTGGTTCAGTGGCTGTACGAGTCATTTTCGGGTTCCAAGAAGTTCTTCGAGTCTGTGGAGGACAATAACGACGGGGAGCTGAGTGAACAACGTCGCTGGGCCGCAATGTGCCAATTTGTGCGTCAGAAACTGCACGATCTCCACGCAGCCATGGAATTCCTCAAACGATTCAATGAGGACATTGAACAGTTTCTCGGCGAACACAGCATGCCACTCGTCCACAACAAGGACACCCTCAAGGAATTCTTCATCGATCCCTCTCTTGAAGAGATGTATTAGCTGAATTCCCTTCTCAAAGTACATTATATTTTTCTTCTGGAAATTTTATTCAGCGGTATTTTTTGTGAATTGTGTGTGTTTTTTTAACCTGAAATAAAAGTTGGAAATCACGCCATGCTAGATTTGTTTTTTTTTTATTTGAAGAATTTTGTTAATTGAAAAGTCGATTTGTCCATAATAACAAAAATACCCTCGAGGAATTCTTCCTTGATATCCCTCTCTTGAAGAGATTTGCACTAGCTGAATTCCATCCTTAAGTCCATTATACTGTATTTGTTTCTGGAAATTTCATTCAGCGTTTTTTGTGTGAATTGTGTATTTTTCTTTTTTACATGAAATAAAAGTTTGAAATCACGCCCTGCTGGATGTGCTTTTTTTAATTTTAAGAATTGTTTTCTTAAAAAGTCGACTTGTCCACAACAAAGACACCCTCAAGGAATTCTTCATTGATCCCTCTCTTGAAGAGATGTACGTATTAGATGAATTCCCTTCTCAAAGTACATTATATTTCCTTCTGGAAATTTTATTCAGCTTTATTTTTTTGTGAATTGTGTGCGTGTGTTTTTTTTACCTGAAATAAAAGTTGGAAATCACGCCCTGCTAGATTTTTTTTCTCTTAAAAAGTCGATTTGTCCACAATAACAAAAATACCCTCATGGAATTCTTCATTGATATCCCTCTCTTGAAGATATGTATTACCTGAATGCCCTTCATTTGCTTCTGGAAATTTTATTCAGCGTAATTTTAAAAAAATTGTGTGTATTTTTTTACTTGAAATAAAAGTTTGAAATCATGCCCTGCTGGATGTATTTTTTTTAATTTTAAGAATTTTATTCGTGAAAAGTCGACTTGTTCACGACAAGGACACCCTAAAGGAATTCTTCATTGATCCCTTTCTTTTAATAGATATATATTTTTACAGACTGGAAAAAAAAATTTTTTGGTAGACATTATGGCAGGTATATAAAAGTTTTGGCTTCTTGCAAAAATTGGGCTATAAGCACCTATGAGGCAGCTGAATGCCATCAAAAACTAAGAAAAGTGAAAATTAAAATCATTTGTTTCAGCAGGTAAAAAATGTGTCTGAATCACCATTATTAGGATTTAAAAAAAAGCCAACTTTCAAGTTTCATCAATTGCCTATCTTTCCAAAAATTTCAGATAATGTTAACAGAGTGCATTGCTGCATTTAATAAGTGCATTCATTATGCTGAAATTTTCCCCCACAGACCAGCAATAAACTTCTGCGGATATGGCCCATATGGGTTATCGGGGAAACACTGGTACATAATAATAAGCAACCAGCAAGGAATCTCGCTCGCACTGAAGGTTTTTCCCGAAATTTCCCCCATGAATTCTCCAGGTTCGATTTCTTCGCCCACGTCATCCGTGATGGATGGTTAAACACGCCGCGGAATAAATAGAAACACGCCGTTCAACGTTGCCAGTAATTTTTCATCCACATCACGGCCTTCTCAGTATATATAGACATGTATATATACAGCAGTCGGATTACCCCCCAGGTATAAAAGGCCAGTGTCGCAAGCCCGGACCGGGTTATATTCAAACACGCGAAAAGCCGAACGAGGCATTATATATATTTCGCGCACGAGTCCCTTTCAGCAAAATAAAATAAATATATATATATAAACATATACATAGCAGTTGAAGTTTGCGAAAACCCAGGAAATTGTTTCCGGTTGTGAAATGAGTACTAATAAGGCAGTGGTGGTGCTTGCTGCAGCAATTGCCTTGCAGGTGCTCCTCGTTTTGGACAGAGTTGGGCCTTCGACTCAAGCCAGACTCTTCAAGTCCTTGGCTCATCGGGGTCCCATCAGTAACAATGGCCTTTTCAACTGGAGCCCCGATTACGACACCAAATTGGGGAATCTTCTCCAAGCATTGGGCAGAGTAAGCAAATTTATGATTTGTTTATCTCTTTTATTTTTGTAAATATAGCGTGGAGAAAAATGGGGTTGCGCTGGATGAAATGCTGGTGGGTTGTGGGTTGAGAAAACCCTAATTGGGGACAGATGTTGCCTCAATGTAAGTTAGTGTCAAGCTGGATCAAAAGAGTAAAAAGGGCATAAAAAATGACAATAATGAGCCCGGGACAGGGGATGAAATTCCCTCTTGGAATTCCTTGGTTAATCCTTATTCAGCCAAGTTGAGATATTTTTGCAAAAGTTTGTGCCACTGGGCACTGGGAATGAGAAAAAAACCTACTTTTGTACCAAGGCCTAAGTCAGGAAAAAGCCCAATTTTTTTTCTAATCTTGCAGAAAATTTTCAATGATAATTTTTTTTTAAAAATTGCCTCCTCATTGGGGGCATTTTTCCTGCATTCCTGGCATATGATTTGCATGGGAAAAGCTTGCAAACAAAAGAAAATTTGCCTCCTGGATTTTTTCAAACTTAGGGCTCCTCAACGTGCGCACATTTCAGTAACCTTGGGTCAAACTGAAATGCGCCAACCCCAATGAAAAATCCCAACTCCACCAGGCACTGAGAAAGAACCCTTTGCCATCCAAGTGTTAAGGATAAAGTGTATTTCATACAGAACAATAACTACTCAGTAAACTCTTGCTTCAACTACTGGATTGAACTGGAATAATTCTCATGTGTGATATTCTTCTCTGCTCTTGACTAGCTCAACATTTAATAATTACCCTTCATAAAGTTTTATCATTTGATTTTGAGGTAGAGGATAAAACTCTAGAAAATACTGAGAAAATACAAGTGATGGCGCGCTTGCCTGACAAACAATGCTGCTGCTGCTGAAAATGATTCCCTAAAGTATCCCAAGAAGGTGCCAAGTTTCAAAATTGTTTGAAATTCTTTTCCCTCTTTGAATGCAGTCAACAATTCTTGATTCATTGAGTTGAACTTGGATGAGGAACCCACAAAATACTTTGATCCTGCTAAAAATTCCTAAATTATCCCAAAATGGACAAACAGGGAGCCAAGATTCAAAATTGTTCGAAATTATTTTCCCTCTTTGATTGCAGTCAAACTTCTTGATTCATCAAGTTGAACTTGAATGAGGGACTGACAAGATATTAAAATGCTGCTAAAAATTTCTAAATCATCCCAAAAGAGAAAGATAAAAGTGTATTTCAATTAAACCCCAAGATTCACACACTTCTTCACACACAAAAAAACACAATTGATAAAGATGACCTTCACAGTCACAAGATTGCAACACACATCTGTATCAGTCTGGTCTTCTGCACACCTGATTTGTTAAAACCCTTGAAGAGAACAGATTAAAATCTCTAGTGTATGCAATTAATATGAGTGCCATCTAACAGCAGCCAGTGTGCAAAAATAGCAGTACGTTAAGGTACCAAAATATTCCATCACAATAGACAAAGAAGGAGCCGAGTTTCAAATTGTTCAAAAATATTTTCCTCCTTGATTACAGTCAAACCCTCGATTCATGTTGAACTCAGACACAAAATATTTCGATGCTGCAAAAAATCCATAAATTATTCCATGATGTACAAAGATTTCAAAATTGCTCAAATATTATTTTCCTCCTTGATTATGATCAAACTTCTTCATTAAACTTGAAATCAGTCGAGTGTCCCACAAAAAATTTCGAATCGCTGAGTTTTTCAGTTTGGGAAACAAGCATTTCTGCTAGCTTTCTGCTGATGACGAAGAAATTAAGAATTAATTAAAGTAATAATTTCAGAAAGCGGGAACTTATTGGCGAACTTCTGTTCCTTCAACTGTTGATTAAATGAGTTGACAGGATGCTAAACTTGGAGTAAAGGGTACATTTGCTGAATTATAGAAACTCAATTTCTTTTGAAAATATTCCAAAACGATTTTTTATTTCTCTAATTTTTTTCAATTAGTGGAAAGAATAAACTTAATTCGAGCAAAAATCCTAAATTATCCCAGGATGCATAAAGAAGGAGCCGCGTTTCAATACTGGATACAATATATGCATCAATTTACAAGCCAAGAATTTCAGTATTTTCTTCAGCAAAAAAAAATTAAAATTTCAGATCAACCGACATGAGAAATGAATACAGGTGGATCTCTATACAGTGAAATTCAAAAAAATCTGGAAATTAAAATTGTTGTGAAGATAATTTCATTGTAGAGAACCCCTCTATAACATGATGGTGGCGAACCAAAGAACATTTTTATACAGTAAAAAAAAATCACATACAGAAAAAAAATCGTTCTAGACAAAATCGTTGTATAGAGAGTCCAACTACTTTGATAACATTTCTAATGGATAACACAAAGGACGCAGATGCAACACACAACAAAAATTACCCATATAACTTTTATAAATGATGTGAGCAATAAAAAATTGAACTAAAATTTCAGGCATAATCATACAATTCTTACACGTGATATTTTAGTAACCAATCAAAATAGTCCAACTTTAACTGACGAATCATCTCGCGATATTTTATCTCTCGACATTTCCTCTCAGCGACGTTTTCTCTATTTAATTTAATACACGACGCAGAAAAAAATGTGGCCCAAACTAAATTCCACCCCAAAATTTTGGAACTTGCCGTATTTTCGTCAGATATAAATTTATGCATCTCACGCACAGTGTATGTCGAAGCAAAGAATTATTTTGAACTGGAAAAATAAACTCGAGATGATTAAATTGACAATTGCGTTAAAGTGCGATAAATCCCTATCAATAAATTGCGAAGTTGCATAATGATAAATTGCGTTTGTTTTGTGCACGAATGCAGACTATTTCGAATCGATAAATTTAATCAATCGTCCAAGTCATTTATTTTTTAAACAAAAACACTAATTTAGCCTTTTTTTAATTCTCTCAATATTATTACCGTGATTTTCATTCATCGCCATCTGACGAGCTGATAATCTTCGCTACAATACTTTATAAGATCAGCAGTAAATTCCATGATATCATACAGTACTGTATTAAATATTCTTAGTTCTTAGACTGGCTGTTGATTGTAATTATGTCGAAATTTGATCTATCAGTTAAATTTAACAGTATTATCCGCGCAATTGATTCCGGAAATTTACCAGAATGTAATGAAAATTGTTTTCTTTATGCTGTTCTTTGTTACTAGAATTTTACGGCACGAATTTAAACCGAAAATCCCGGATTATCCCGTCGATGATTTCCTACTGAAATCTCATTTTCAACGAGTTCCGCACATATAAAATAGATGACGCTCTCACGACGAAATACCGTGCTGTGTCAACAAAAATTTTTACACATTTCAATATTTTCTCTAGATTGAAGAAACAAGGCAAATGATGGACGATGCAGAAGCAGCAGCAGCTCCGTCAGCACTGGAAGAAACCCGAAGAGAACTTGAAGGAGCCGGAAACGGAAATGACGGGAAATACTTCCTGAGGTTCCCGAAACGATACCTAGATGTCATGTCCGGTCCCGAACCTCAGCACCGCAGGTCGTCCCCATCCCAAAACGGGAATTCCTGAATATGTTGATCAATGCTCCGTATACATGATGCCCTATACTCGGTTCTATGAATCCAAACCCTGTGCGAAAATTGAACCTGTCTCGCGCTCGTGAGTCACTGTTGATGGACGGCGAATAATAATGAAAAAAAAAGATCCAGTTGAATATTTTTATTTAATTTTTTCTTTGCAGGCAAGAGTTTTTTTTATACACTTAATCGAAATATTCTCATAAAACTCCTTAAATAATATTGTATACGGTTTTAGTTTTGGAGAATAATAAGAGCAAAAAATTGGCGTCCACTGCTTAGCTTATCCTCATGAATGAATGAACAGAACACTTTATTTGCTGCTTTTCAGCATTCACAAGGTTCACTCAAGATTTCCACAACCAAAACCCAAATCCACTCAATGACATTTTAATCACTTCAGAGCAGGAAAACACAAATTGCTAACAAAAATAAAAGAAAATACAATACAACATGAAATACAACAGGACATCTGACACCCATATCCTCATTACAGTTCTGTATTCATTTTGCTCAATGGAAAGATTCCATGATCCCAGACATGAATTTTCCCTTTTTTGTTATAAAAAATCCCAATTTTATTCATCCATGCAAGTACAGTATAAAAATGCCATACATACTGCACTAAAAATAGTTTGTCATTCACTTAGCTGTGATTGGTAAATGAAATTTGGCACTGATATTGATTGATTGATAAACAAGCTTCATTTTCCGTTTTTCAGCATTCACAAGGCTCAAATAATGTTCCCAGACCCCACCAAAATCCACCAAAACACATTCCATCACATCAAGATGTAAAGTATAGTAGACAAATAAGGTATACAGGTGGTACCTTGCAATTCAGCCTCCCACAATTTGACCATCCCGTAATTTTACAGTCAAATGTGCTGGAATAAAGGCCAACTTGCAATTTGACCTAGGCCCCACAATTCAACCCACAGAGGTGGGCAAAAGTGTCAAATACAATGTACAACCATTGCATTTGACGTTGCTTTGCAATTTGACCTTAGTCTGGCAACAGATTAGGGTTGAATTTTGAGGCAGCACATGCATACAAGTATTATGGAAAAGAAAATACATCACAGGATGTACAAATGCACAACTGATCTAAATAATGCACACACTTAATTACTAAACACAAAATAAAGTGCAAGGTGCCTGCTCCCAGAGAAGTAATACTGTAGTTGAGTGAACAATTTGGCAATGATTGAGAGGCAGTATAAAAATGTTGTACATATGTAGGAATACAGAAGGAATACATGGATGACTTAATTGAGCAAAAATGTAATCATGAAGTCTGACATGCAAAAAAAATTAGTGGGACATTTTTGAGAAAGTTGAAAAATCCTCAAATACTGCATACAGACCACAGAATGTACCTCGCAGAATTTTCAGAACACATAATTGATGTAATACACAGTTCTTCTCCTAAATTTAACACAATACTGTACCACATTTCAAGATTTATTATTCGCAATACTGGAAACACTTGAAGAAAAATTACGTTTCTTCATGATATGAATCAAGACGCTCGCTCAGTTTCAAAAGGATTTTTCCGGGCAATCTGCAAAAATTGAATAAATTAGCCACTGCAAAAATAGGTTGCTCTGTTGCTTGCATACCTTATAAAATTCCTGATCAACACCAGACTCGATAGGTTCGATCTGGAAATACTTTTTGAACCTGGAGGTTTGCAGGATGCAGGAAATTTCTTTGTCCACCAGCACGGATTCTCCTTTCTGGCAAAAATAAAAATGGGAAATTATTTTCCGGTTATGAAACTGATCTTCTGAGACATTCTTGAATTTTTGTTGATGCGATGAGGCTTTTCTAATTTCATTTAAAATTTTCATTGAAATTCATGACCAGGGATTGTTTCTCATTCATGGAGACTTACTTACCTTGAATGTCAGTCCAGCTCCGAATTCAAATTTGTCTTCGTTGTCTTCCATCAATCCATTGTATGTGACTTTCGCGGGATGACTCAGCATTTCAGGATCGATTTTGAAAATTCGGAATGTACCTGACACGAATTTATATCCATCTGTGAAAATTCGAAAAGATCTTACATTGAAGAACTGTAGATGAAAAATTAGAGAAAATTGCTCGTCTTGCCGAATTTTTTCTTCATTTCTTCGCTTTCAATCCCAAAGATTCGGCTGGTGACCAAAACAGGAGTTGCTGATCGGAGTTCTTCGCAAATTTCGTATAACTCTTCCCAGTAAAGTGCACCTGACAGGCCTTCAACTGTTGGATTCACCGAAGAGTTTTGTTTCAAAAACGATATTAAACCACAATTCGAATAGTGTATTTTTGAAACTCGAGAACCCTTCAACACACTGACGTTGTACATGTACATCAATAAGGAAAATCACAAAATTTTCGCATGCAACAAATAAAATTCAATTTTTAAAATATTTTAATCGTAAGGTTTTGCGATGCAGTAATAGTATTTCTCGGATTAAAACTTTATAGTACTGACCCCAAGCTTCGTCGTCGGTAAACTCGGACTCTTTATCCCGCCGACGATTACAATAGATGTCGCTAACAACGAATTCTCCCCCAACTTTGAGCGCCTCCAGAGCTTGTTGGATTACCAGCTTCTTGTCAGAGCAAAGAGTGATGACGCAGTTCGATCTGAGGAAAATTTGCCGCATATAAAATCTATCATCAACTTTTACTTGAGTAAAATATTACCAAATTTTAACTCCTTTAACTTCGTTCATGCGGTAAAGAAGAAGATATTTGCTGTTTTACATAATTATTGAAATCAAATACTGTACAGTATAAGAAAGGAAAGCGCAACAGACTAAAGAAACATTGGAAAACGGTTTCGATTCCTGGGGTAAAATTATGAAAATCTTTTCCGCAGTTAAGATTTCATATTGCACTTCATTTATCGTCTCGCCAAAATAAAACTAAAATTATGTAAAAAAAAAAAAAAAGCAACTTTTCATCACTCTGCAGTCTCAACCAACCTAGAACCCCTCATAAATCTTGAAAATTATCATAATATTCATAAATGACTTCCCTGAAATTATCAGCATGAGAAAAAGGGCTTTTTCGATCAAGAAACTACATTGAATTTAATTTGACTGTAACTCTTGAATATTTCACGGATGTTAAAATCGTCCGTCATTAAAGATAATGCAAAGCTTTTTTCGGGATTTCGCCTCCAAAACATGTGAAGCATGCCGAATTTAAATTGTAATTGCATTCGACTTTCTTCCAGCATTTTATGAATAATAAAAAATATGTCTTAGCCATATAACTCACGGGGAAAATAAGGTTCGTCAGGGTTATTGTGGTAAATATGGAGAAAACGCCATAATTTGTTTCAAAGATTTTTTGACAAAGATACTCACACAATTGCATCAAAGAAGTTTTTTGGAACTCCAGCAGCTGCCAAGTCTTCGAGATATCCAAATTTGAATTCAATATTTGGTTCAGGGTAGCCAAAGACTTCCATGTGGTACGTTACGTATTTTCTCGAAATTTCCAGCTAACAAGAAAATTATTGTAAGTTCAGTGGGTGAAGATACCTGAAAAAAGCAGTATAATACGTTTTTCCGTGTTCAATTTTATACTGTAATCTGCTCATTAAAAAAAATTGAGTCATCAAGCGAGTTGATTTTTTGCTTCCTCGCTGATGATTTGAGGAAGAATTCCGAGGATTTACAGTACTGTACTGTATAGGCTGTAAAGAATTTACCATATTTTCAGTCATGTCAACCCCGAAAACCTTTCCGGAAGTTCCGACGAGTTTGCTCAACACAAATGAATCTCTTCCGCTTCCGCTTCCCAAGTCCAGAGCATTGCATCCTTCAAGGGCTTCAGGAAAGGGTAAACCACACCCGTAATTTCTGTGGAAATCAATTTTCGGAATGATATTCTAGATCTAGAATTTCTGATTGTTTCTTATTTTTTAACTTGGTGACCGGAAGAGGAGCTCCCAGAAAAATGCATTTGAACTTATCTCCTAGGTTTTGATGCTTGCCTCCAGCAATAATGGCTTTATTCTAGCAGCCTCATCATGAAAAATCGGTAATGAGTAATGAAGAAGACCCTTTGGGAGCCTGGCAATATTTGCTGAGAGCATTAAAATATAAAGTACAGGTGAACCCAAATAACTCAAACCTCCCTAAGTTGAATACCCCCTAAGTCAAATCCTTTTCAGATCCCCATCTGAAATCCCCTTAGAAGTAATACAATAAAAGCCTCTCTTCAAGTCAAAGGCTTTCCCCCTAAAACCTCTGTCAGTCAAATTTTCTGTGGCCATTGGCTATTATATTCTTTATCCAAGAAAGAAAAAACAATACAAACATACATTGATGTGTTTCAAAAGGAAGTTAAAGACTTAATTGCTGGGCAAATGAACCCCTGCCAACAAGTTTAGCATCCTTTCAACTCATCTAAGAAAAAATTTAAGCCCCAGAATACCACCATTTACAATTTTTGGCCAATTTCTCTATATTTTCCAGAAAAAAGAGCTTTGTATTGTAGCCCAAACCTCTATAATTTATAACCTCCCTAAGTCAAAACCTCCCTAAGTCAAAACCTCCCTAAGTCAAAACCTCCCTAAGTCAAATTTTTTTTCTGGTCCCTAGAAATTTGACTTAGAATGAATAAATGAACAGAATGCTTTATTTTCTGCTTTTCAGCATTCACAAGGTTCAATCAAGATTTCCACATCCAAACCCTGACTGAGAGGTTCAACTGTATCACATCCCTCAAATTGTTTTGCTGGTTCCTTCAAATCCAACTTCGAGGGGTTTGACTATACATACAGTACATGTGGTACCTTGCAATTTTACCCTAATCTGTTGCCAGAGTAGGGTCAAATTTCAAAGCACCCAAACTGCAAGACACTTTGTGAAATTCAAAAATACTAGTAAAAACACAAAAAAGGGGTCAAAGTAGGTCTAATTGCAGGGCAAGTATCAAATTGAAAGTCAACCTCCCTGCAAATTGGACTGTTGAATTTTGGGATGGTCAAATTGCAGGAGGTCAAATTGCTAAGTACCACCTTCATCAGTTATGCCAAGAAAGCTTCAGTATAAAAATGGCTGCTTACTTCATGACAACTTCCTCGTGAATCAGTTTCATGGCTTCCTTGATCCTTGGTTTCAAAGATGGCGGAACACAACAAGACCCAGTTTTCAGATCTTTTGTACTGCGCAAAGTTTCCCCATAGTATTGCTTAACAGCTTGTTCCACTGCGTTTCCGTCCGCGCATGACATGATTTCAAAGCCGAAATTCACTCGCAATAAGTCACAAATTCAAGTACAGAATACTGCAGTGAAAAAATGAAATGCAATCGAAGCCAAAAGTCACTCGCAAATCAGAAATTAAAGTACTGTACGCTGGAAAACAAAATTAAATGCTATTGATGAAGACATTTAATCCCTTCTTTCCAGAAAGAAATCATATACCCAGGAGATTTCCACCGTGTGAAACAGAAAAAGGAGAAACGAATGTTTTTTTTCTTCAAGAAATCAGATTAGCAGCATCCGGAACCTTCTGCACTCTCCGCCCCGCAAAATGGATTTTTTGCATTGATCTGAAAAAAATGAAAAAAGAGTCAACATTCTAAAACTATGCTGGAGGAAGAACTGAGCTTTTTCAACTGTTTGACTCGAGGAAACTTTTATTCTTGAATATTGAAACGGCAGATGCCATCAGAGGGGACTATCTAATATTTATAGTAGTTTCTAAAAAATTGCGAATAATGATAATTTAATCAAATGATGTAATAAAAATTAATAAGAATGAAAATAATCAAAATTAATAATAATGAAAATAATCAAAATTAATAATAATGAAAATAATGAAAATTATAATAATGAAAATAATAAAAATTAATAATAATGAAAATAATAAAAGTTAATAATAATGAAAATAATAAAAATTTATACTAATGAAAATAATAAAAATTAATAATAATGAAAATAATAAAAATTAATAATAATGAAAATAATCAAAAATAATAATATTATCATTACTATAGTTACTATAATTATTTGGTATTATAAAGTGTTCTATAATTTGGTTTCCTCTTTGATTTTCAATTCATATAAATAAAAGTGCTGCTTGACAGCCACAGTATTCATTCAAAATTTGCAGCATATTCTTCTATTTCCCTCCGCTGAAGCAGCCGCATATAGTCTGTGTAAGATCAATCTTTGCTATTGAATGTGTTACAAATCATTCCGAGAATGTGTCTCACCTTCAAAGCAGTTTCAATCGAATCCTCGTCCAATTCTTTGATTTCAAAGTGAGCAGAGTAACGAGAAGATTTCAAAATGTTCGCCAACTGTGCATCCACTGCTACTGGGGTTCCTTTCTGTTTGGTAGGAAAGAATTCTTTGGGTGACATTGATCTGGCAACACTTGCATTTTCTGGAGTTCAATACTGTACTCAAACATCCTTTTACTAGTGCACACCCTATATATAGGCAGAATTTCCAGGGACATGTTTTAGAGCTAGGGAAAGAACAGCCTATACAAGGGTTCTAACAAAAGTTATCGGAATGAAAATGATAATGGCGTCTAATCGAGCTGAAAAAAAATTATTCTTTAGCGCAAACATATTCTTTGGCACAAAAAAATCAGCCCTGTTTGACAATTTCTTTTAATTTTTTGCAAAATTCACTCTGGCAGAGTTTTGCTATCCACATTGATTTTAAGAATTCTGAGGGGAAAGCTGGGCCACAAAAAAGAAACTGCAGGAAGGGTGCCTCATCTGTTGAGTGGATACTAAAACTCTGCCAGGGTGAATTTTGCAAATTTTTTTTTTAATTGTCAAACAGGGCTGATTTTTTTTGTGCCGAAGAATATATTTGCCCTAAAGAATAATTTTTTTGCAGCTCGATTGGACGCCATTATCATTTTCATTCCAAGAACTTTTGTTAGAACCCTTGTACTTTGCAGTTTCATGTCTCATATTTTTAATGCCTACAATTTTAATGATTGAATTTACAAATTCCTGAAAGTTTCGATTTGAAAAGATTTAACATTGTTCAGTTGGAAGCCTGCTTTATTCCAAAGCAGACATAACTGCTGATGATGTGAGCATAGACTAATAAGGAAAAGCTAACTTATTGTCAAATGCTATTCCTCCTTTCAGACTGAATTAGATGAACATTTTCATTGAAAATATTCAGACTTTCAGAAACTGCTATTCTTCTCCAAAATGCTCTTCACAATCCTTGATTAGCATTCAGAAAAATCACATGTGCATAAATAACTCAAAATGTATGATTTTAAGATGATGTTGGGGATGTTTGCAAATTTAATGCTTGATGATGGAAATAGTGTAGTATCAAGAAAAATCATTTTGCAAAAAATTTTCGGACACCCTGAACCTAAAGTATTAAAATGTATGAGAATCCTAGAAATAAAAGCGCCTTTTCTTCACCAGTTCACTTGCAACTTTTTTTTCTGGCCGTTTATGAGAATACTGTACAATATTATCCAGGAAATTAACAAATTTTGTCACTAGAAATATGCAAAGAAAAATCATCTCTTCAGAAGCAAACAATATAGTTTCCCCAGCAGAAAAAAAAATCCCAACCAGATTTCATTTCGGAAGAACTGCACGAAAATCCGTCACTTAACAAACAAATAATAACTTCCACCTATATTGTAGTGAAAGGAAGATGAAAAAAAGTGACTCACCGGAAACAAAATGCCTTTCCCAAAAACGAAATTGTCCTCATTATCTCGAATGGTTCCGCGGTAAGTGACTGAAGCTGCATCCGCGTCATTATTACCGGGTTTGAAAAAGCGGTACGTGGCGGACACGAATTTCACGTCATCTGCGAACAACGGTAAACAATAATTCATTGAAATCATCCCCTTGATTTTCAAAAAAAATCTTATTTGCTCACCAAGAAGCGATTTGATTCTCTCATCGCTGATCTGGAATGTCTTTGATGAGACGAGGATCGGGGGACTGAAGCCGAGTTCTTCACAAATTCGGTGCAAGTCCTTCCAAAAAAGGGCCCCGGAAAGACATTCACCTGTTAATTAGTGTTGTTTCAGCTAAATCAACATGGAGCAGAATTTTTCAAAAAACACAGAAGTAAAAGCAAAAATGACCTTGTCAATTATCAAATATCATGCTCCGAGAATCTATAAATAAAAAATTTGCGTGCTGAATAATTCGCGAGACAAAATATGGCCAGCAAGAAACAAGTCAGCTTTTGTTTATATAGTTTCCCTTTTTCTGGCATAAAAAGGGATTAGCGTTGATTTTGTGCTCAAATGTCTGATACAGTTAAATACGGTACTTTCCTGTTATCTCAGTACCTACTTTCCGTGCACCTACCAGAAACTGTGAATTTCATTTTTCTGCATTCTGCTGAAACTGATTTTGGGAGGCAGTTAGGTAAAGATAGGTTAGGTCAGGTTATGTTAGTTACAAAACATAACCTGACCTAACCTAACCTAATGAATACTGAATTCACGAGACAAAGAAAAATGGGTACTGAGATAACAGGAAAATACCTTGAATACTTTGCATGTTAAACAAAATTTTGAATGGTCCAAGCGTCTGTTCTTTCTTCCAAACATAAATTAAAATTATGTATTTTTCTTTTACCCGGGGATGAAGAAATGCGGGGTGAAACTCACTTGACTGTGACTCTGTCAACTTTCAAATTGTAATCATGGAATAAAGGAACAATGAAGTGACAAATAATTGTGATAAAATTGATTCAGTTGTTCTGGGGTAAGCTGATGGTGATGCAGATGACACATTGGCAAAAATCGAGCAAGTTTTACCAGGAATATTCCAGTGAAAAGTTCTGAATAATCATGGCGGCTGGACAATTATTTTCAAAGGAAATGTATGCACTAGCTTTTATTTACACTTAAACTTCCAGTTATCAACTAAGTGATGTAACAGAAGGATTGAACATGAAGAACAAGCTTAATCTCACCAACTGAAAAAAAAGAAACAACTCACCCCAAGCTTCTTTATCCTTTTGAGCATCTGCAGGTATTTCCTTATTCGAATAGATGTCGCTGAAAAATATTTCTCCTCCCGTCTGAGAAGATGGAATTAAACACGTTCACACTGTATGCAGTACAGTATTTAAATTTACTTACCGAGATTTTAATAAAGTAAGAAAATGTTCAGACTTTTTCTGAGAGGAAATGTTTACCTTTAAAACTCTGAAGGCTTCAGAAAGGGCTGCCGCCTTGTCCTTGCAAAGGTTGATGACACAATTGGAGCTTCAGACAGAAAAGGGATGTATATGAATCATCACAATTGGAATGCAGTTGTATTTTATGAGCTTTACCAGCGTTTTAAATATATAAGCGTTTTATACATATTTTAAATATATATAAGCGTTTCATGTATAATTTAAATATATAAGCATTTTATTATATTTGTTTTCAACAAATATAATAACTTATATATAGCCTTTTATTTATTAATTTGATCATTTTGCGATATTTGTTCCCAGTAAAACTGTTGAGGTGACTACGAATTTTTCCTTTCACCAGCAGTTTAAATTTAAAAAATGGTTCTGCTCACACAATGATGTCGAAAAAATCATCTTGAATTCCAGCACCGGACAGGTCTTCCAGGAAACCTTTCTTGAATTCCACATTGGTTTTGCTGTAGCCAAACTTTGACATGTGATAGTCAATGTACTCATTGGCAACTGCAAGCTGATTCATAATGGAATACAACAAAATGAAATGCATCTTGCTGAGTATAATGAACATTTTTTTTCAGATTATGGCCGGGATTAAAACTCAACCCGAAATTTGAAGCTATCCGTATTTTTGTTTCAAGTATATTGTACAAATCCGTTCAAACTAGAAATAAATACTGTATAACTAACCTGTTCAGGAGTCATGTCAACACCAACAACTGTGCCAGTGGGCCCAACCAGTTTGCTGAGAACAAATGCGTCCCTTCCTGTTCCAGAGCCAAGATCAAGAACATTGCAGCCATCTTCGCATTCCGGAAATGGCATTCCACATCCATAATTCCTGCACAGGCGAATGGAATCATACTTTTCCATATGCAGCATGAAGCTTTAAGGCCGCTTATCAGCACAACTGCTGAATCTTTAATTGAACACTTGTTAATACGTTTGATATCAATATACTGCCTTGAATGTTGAATTTATCAATTCGAACAAACTTTCAACAGTACTAAACTTATGTATTCAGTAATTCATAGAAACGAAATTCATATTTATGCAACAGGTCGAAATTCTGAGAGGTATACGTTCAACCAGTCCACTTCAATTGTAAACACTGTATCACGCACCTGAGAATGACTTCCTCGTGTATCAGCTTCATTGCTTCTTTCACGCGTGGACTCATCTTCGCGGTTAAAGCGCATGCCGTAGTTTTAAGATCGTCGCGAGTCTGCAGTGTTTTTCCATAGTATTCTTTGACGGATTCTTCTACGGCGATTTCTTTGTTCTCATGCAACGCAGTTTTGCACGAGTTCGCGTCGTTCGCATTATTGCAGCACGCCATTTTGTACGTATTTGCAGCACTGGATAAGTTCTCTAGATTAAAAACGAATTTGAACCACGCCCTGAAACCTCAGTGAAACGGTGAAGTGACGTTCCTGAGTGTATACTGGAAGGGAACTGCGTGGGGAAACGGATTCAACGTTGTCTTTACTTGTGCGGAGCATGCGCTTCATTCACAAAGCTACGAATGCTTGGGGTCTTGTTCCGTGGAGTGCAGCAGGCAAGAGAGTGAAGAGATCAACAGCAAATGTACGTCTCCCTTTCTGCCGTTTACAGCCTGAGGGAGGTGAACGACTTCTGAAGTTAATTTTTGTTCCTTATCGGTGTGGGGCAGTTGGAAAGAATAGGAGCTCCCTGAAAAGGCTTATAATATTGGAACAAGTTCAAGGTGAAACTCGCGCGATAGTATACAGCATGAGTCCCCACCCATATGTTACCTTCCATCGTTTCTGTAGTCTTACAGCACATTATACTGTATTTCGATGGAGTTTCAGCCATTCAATACTGTACTCCATTTCAAATATGCCCTTCACAGTCCAATGCGCCATTTGCACCTTTCAGTTTCCTGAGAAATCTATACAAAGTCATCGTTTTTCTCGAAAATACACACCTTGTGGATCATACATATCTTATACACTGGAAAACATGTATCTTTCGCTTTTTTTGTGAAGTCATGTTCCACACCCGAAGGGAACTGAGTGCAGCATGAGCCCCCTACTAAGCTGATCCGTAATTCATACCATGCCATTCATATATAGCACCCTGAGTTTGTTAGCTTTACAACATGATACTCTTTTTTCGAAGTTGTCGGTCCGGAAAATGTGGCTTGAACATTAAATTGATGATGTTGATGTCGGTGAGCTTGTCTTTTTGCAGGAGAGTAAGAAAGGAGCATGATGACAGCGGAAACCTGAACTCCCATTCCAGCTAAGATACGCACAGCAGTTGAACCTCGAAAACTCGTCGAACCTCCGTGCGTCAAATATTACCTCCCTATTTTAACTTTTTGATTACGACGAATTCGCTTCTGTAAAGATTCCTGCACAATAGCCACAAACATTAGAATATATTTGGAAAAAAATTACGATGAAGTTTTTTTCCTGAATGAACCTAATAATGGCGTTGTTGCAACAAACAACTCGCAGTATATTTGTATATTCAATATACTGATGACAGAAATTCAGTTGGAAGTGAATTATAGATAAGCTTTGGGAAGAAAATAATGGCTGGATATCAGGGAGTAGATCCAGTGATCGTTCCTTCTTCCTTCGGACGATAGTAGTTGTGAAGCAGTGATGGATGCTCGGGGTGATTCATGCTGCTGGTGCTGCTATAGACCTGAAAATCATTAATATCCTGGGGAATTAGGAATAAATGTTGACGCAATTCGTATCACAGGAGGGTTAGGAAAAAAGTAACAAGATAGTGAACGAATTCGACATCATCCAAACAACCGCAAGTGTGCTCTTCTCCCTTCTTTTTGGAGAGCAGCAGATGGAACAGAGTTAGCCTTTTCGGAACCTTTTCTGATATTGCTTATACGATACTTGAGAAATGTCAGGAAATCGGTGTCATTCAAGAGACAGACTTTTTTTTAATCAGGGAGATGAAAATGGAAATATTGTAGCATCCTCGCGACAATTTTTCTTTTTCCCCTTCTTTGATTTACAGATTCGCTCATCGTACAGGGTCAGAATATCAGAAATATACTCTTCCACTTTTAGAAGTTGGTAGAAAACTTATTTTCAGCTATGATTTTACAATTTTCCCCATTTCTTTGATGCGCAGCTTTCTCGCCTTCCTCTGACACAGAATTGATACAGTACTTGGAAAATCGTCCCCGTTTTCTTGTCGGTATACAGTAACCGGTGGAAATCCGTGTTAATCCTGCTCAAAACCTTAATTGGCAATGTTTCGACGCTTGTACATCATTAGTGTTTATTTTGTGTTTTTGCTTATTGAAGGTTAGTTCTATGACACAAATTTTCTACTTCACCAAATGCTAGAAGCATTATATTGTAAAAGTAAATTTTTAATTTTCAGAATCACAATTGCTGGTTCAGGAACTAGATTTCGATCAGTTCTGCTCCATGAACTCCACGTTCGGACCATCGGGACTACATTGTACGTATTCGACGCGTGGGAAAGTTTACTTGACACTGGCTCCAGCGAAAGTGGAAGTGGTTTCTGAATCACCCGAGATTTTAATATTCCACCATGTTGTCGGTGAACCTGAAATAATCGTTTTCAGGGATTTGGCGCTACCGAAGGTATGACTACATGTCAGGTTTACATCTTCAGCTCACTTTACGGTTTGATGTCCTTTTGAAGCTTGTTCCAGCCATGATGGTTGATGAGGAAAGCGGACGGTTGATCCTATCGAGTGAAAGAATCAGCAATTTGACCTGGTTGTCTCGAGATTCTAATCCCACGATAGCTGCAGTTACGAGAAGAATCGGATTAGTGAGTATTACCGTATGTTCTTTTTTTTGCTGTAAAGCGCGACGAAGATGGCGAGGGAGAAAATTCGTTCCTGTATGAATGAGTCAAGATCTCATTGCCTGATTCATTTTTATATGAACCCCGAGTTGTTCGAAACGAGGTATTGAAGATTGATGAGTATCCTGAATTATCCATATTCAATAAGGGATGAAATCTTGAAAAATTATAACTGCGTCGTGTGCGAGGAGGTTACATTTTCATAGAAGTCCTGAATCTCTATCGTCCGGAACTCGTCAATCTGTTATTTTTAGACGCAAATTTTAAAATTCCTCTTGGCAGCAGTTGCAACCAATTTTTCCCAACGTGAGTTTCCGAATTACTCGGCTTCCTAAAAGATTATTTTAACAATCTGTTTTTCAACAAAAATTGTTGACCTTTCAACTATGTATTCTCCCTTTGAGGTTTATAGTGGGAGAAAAAAAGTAGTTCAAAATAATTTTATGCACAATATTGTTTTCTATGCAGAAATTGCTGATATTGGTCAAGAGGGAAAGAGCTGCAAGAGGAAGGTTGTGGAAAAGTTTGGCAGTATTGTTCTGGAACAATCTTTTCAATTGTGAAGAACTGTAGGAGTACACTACTTGTCTTCTGTTGATGCGGACTGATCCTAGTTGATTGTACCGCATAATCTAGCGTGGAAGATAGATTTCAATACTTTCTGTTTCGCCCGAATGAGTAGATGTCACTATAGAGATGTTCGATTTCGTTTTGGCTTCGCTGGATAGAACGTGGGATACCACGTTTTACTGTTGGAGTGAGTTTCTTGGGCGTGATTGGTGAAAATGAGTCAGAGAGGAAGTGGAATTGCAGTTTCTTCTGGTTCATGTGGTGGTAAAATGATCAAACAGTTTTTGGGAAAAGTTAATTCATAAACTCTGCATGACATTTTGACCTAAAAAGGGGGGTCATGCTGCAAATATGATTGGGGTGGGGGAAAACCGGTACTTTCCTGTTATCTCAGTACCCATTTTTCTTTGTCTCGTGAATTCAGTATTTGTGCAATGAAAAATTTGTTAATCACATTAGTTGAAGAGAAAAGGAACTACATCACTACCATCCAGACAAATAACCTAACTTCACCTAACCGCATCCTAAAATCAGTTTCTGCTTTCTTTGGGTTTCTGCTGAAACTGATTTTGGGAGGCGGTTTGGTAAAGTTAGGTTAGGTCAGGTTATNTGGGTTTCTGCTGAAACTGATTTTGGGAGGCGGTTTGGTAAAGTTAGGTTAGGTCAGGTTATGTTAATTGAAATATATTTGTTACTAACATAACCTGACCTAATCTAACTTCACCTAACCGCCTCCCAAAATCAGTTTCAGCAGAAAGCAGAAAAATGAAATTCACAGTTTCTGGTAGGTGCATGGGAAGTAGGTAATGAGATAACGGGAAAGTACTGAAAAACCTATGCCACAATTGTACCTCCCACAATTTGACCATCCTGCAATTCAATGGTTGAATTTGCTGGCAGGTCAGCTCTCAATTTGACCTCTGCGAACCAATTCAACCTGTTGAGAGACACAAAATGTTAAATGCCATGTAGAAAATACGTCATTTGACATTTTCTTGCAAATCCACTGCTTTGCAATTTGACCCTAGTCCAGTAACAGATCAGGTTAAAATTGCAAGGTACCACTTGTACAGTATACAGATTTCCCCCAGTATTCAATGGATTTGACTTATGGATGCTTCACATCCAAACATTGCCAACATCTGCTTGGTGACTCAAGATATGGAGGAGGCACTGCAAAAATATCCAGAGCATTAAAAATTATTTTTAGAATTTTTCTGTAATTATTTTTTTCAAATGTGCTACTACATCTGCCTTCTGTGAAAAGTCTAAATGAACCTTAGAAAATATTCAAATTACTTTATTTTCCAAAAAGGCCAATTTTGTGCTTCTCTTCTGAAGATGTTTTCTATCCACTGCATTTAGTATAGCAATGTCACGACATGATCACCACCGAAATTCGGGTTGGATATTTGAGATTTGACGTGAGAGTCTGTGTAGCTTTCGTGTAATGGCTTCACATGACGGATTAATTTCAGAAGAATATTTCGCCTATCTTCCTTCTTAAAATGCCGTACTTATTTTACGTCATGATACAATTGGTGATTTCATACAAAATTTTATAATATTTTTCAGTTCAGCGGACTGAATATCGCAGCAGCAGAAAGTTTTCAAGTAGCTTTATACGGGATCGGAGGCCAGTTTTTGCCTCACAAGGACTTTTTTGAAGATGAATCCGGCGGTTACGTGCAAAACGTGAATGAAATGGGCGACCGAGTCGCAACTTGGCTGATGTATGTGAGTTGTTGCCTGCGTCATTGTATTTATTAAAGTTTGTTTAATGTGTCAATGTCATGATTTTCTCCTCGGCTTCGTGATGAAGTTGAGTGACGTTGAAGCCGGGGGCTCGACAGTGTTTCCAGATGCGGGCGTTGCCGTGCAGCCCACGAAAGGCTCTGCTGTGTTCTGGCACAACTTGCTTAGGAACGGGCACGGGGACTTTCGAACGGTTCATGGTGGTTGTCCTGTGATTAGGGGATCGAAATTGAGTAAGTATGTCGACGAAGGTTGTCCCATTTGGACGTGACCTCTGTTTTTTTTTTTTTTTGTATAGAAATAATGGGCATGAAAACTTGAAATTGAAGTGAAAATTATACAAAAATAGAAATTCGTCCTTAGGAGCTGATAATCACCCGAGTGAAATTGTATTTTCAACCCACTCAAGTTGACGAATCCATGCATTGGATCCTTCCAAATTTAAAAGATGGTGACATTTCTGATCATTATTTTTACAGTAGCAACAATGTGGTTTCGCAGTATTGGCCAAGAATTTCACCGTCCTTGTGGATTAAATGAACATTTTTGATGAACCGATTGCTGCTGCCGTTTACGACAAGGGTTATTTCTTGTGGTGTGTGTCACCGTTCTGCTTTATGCATTATTGAGATGGTCATAATTGAATGTTTTCAATTTGTGATACGTCATATTTTCTGGACACTGTTTGAATTATGGTTGCATAACTGAGTTGAATAAAGAGAAAGAAACCGAGACTTTTGAGAGAGAACTCATCTCTGCTAGGAAAAGGGTTCACAAATCATGCTTCCAGGGTTCAAGAATTTTCAGTCAGCCCTTGTAGCCCTATTGGACCACATACCTGCTTAAAGTTGAATCTGACGACCGCATTCCAACAAAAAAGTTTCAATTTCTGCAATTTTTGGTGCTGAATTATGTGATGAAGATTGATCCACGAAGGTGGATCAATCTTCTGATCTGGTTTGGCAAGAAAGGATGAAACATAATAACGCGTGGTAATATCACCACCAGAATGAGGCATGTAATGTGTCCTTGCCCATATAAGTGTGATGGTCCTTAAGTATGCCGTGGCATTCGAGGCCTAGGCCAAGAATATTTCTATTCCTCTCAGCTGACCGCATACATTCTTCTTTTGCTTCATGCTTCAACGCAGAATCCAGCCACGCATCACAACGTGTTTCCATCTCCGGAGAGTCTAAAGAGGGCAGGGCCGTCCAAGATGTCTGTCCCTCCCAAATCCTGGAGCAGGTAAGTAAAAGCGAACTTCTGGCTTGTCCCAACCACTCGAAGTAAAATGTAGAAGCTTGTCCGCGGATAAGAGGCCTGATGCAGCGTGTGTGTGTGTAAGTCATGGACGCATGGTTCAACGGACGTGAAGACTGCAAAGACAGAGATTGATGCCATGCCCCTGGCAACCAGCATCATCGCGTATGAACCCTAAGCTTGTGCTGAGATGCCTGTTCGTGAGGCCTGTGTCGCACGCGCAGGGAGTTGTACTACGGTTGTTCTGATATGTGAGAGTTACGCTGACTGTTTTCGGGGAATTTTAGTGGAAGTTTAATGATGAAATTAATGTAGGGATATACAAGCTTGGATGAGCAATCATGCTGCTCGCCATCGCGATCGGTTTGTGCGTGGTTATTGCGCTTGTTTGGGCATCCATGAGGAGGCCGAAAGATTACCCGCCAGGTACTTACGTGAGCCACGTCACTTCGCCTTTTTGTCTCATCCGATTTTATAATCTACGGTATCGATAACGGTGCTGCTGGTTATTGTAATGTGCATGGATTAGTTACACGATATCTAGATTCATGTCCAAGGGATCTTGATGTATTCAAGATCATAAGAAATTCCGTGTGCTAAGTTTGAAGCTGAAAAAATGTGCATTCTAATTCTACGAGTCGAGTATGACTAAATGCGCCGTTGATTTATGCTGTGCATTATAAGGCTTTAAAACAAAATTGTTCAAATTTTTTCTCAAACCTCACTGAATTTGTGATTATTATGCGGTGCGAATACTGCTTCTTTGCGAATACCCAAAGAACAACGTCAGCGAAATTTGTTTACTCTGGAAATATACCTTCTGCGGATGACACCAAACCGTAGCTATTGGGGTACTCTGCACTATAGTGACATCTACAAAAAAGAATATGAACTATCATCGTAAAGTTTTGATATGATTTGTCATCGTGACCCCCTTCATTCTGGAAACATTACATAAGGTAGTTAGCATTCTAGCGGAACCTCATCACTCTGAAACCAGCACTTTGAACAATGGAACAGAAAAAAGGGTAGTTTTGAAATGACAGAACAGAGAGATGAAATGGGACGTGTCCAGTGCAAACTACACAGAGGATTATCAAATAAGCGTTAAACTGTAAGTGTACGTTTTTAGAAAAAGATGGAATGCGTTTGAAGTTATATGGCTTTATCAAAGTAAAGCAACTACAGTTAGTCACTATGGAGTATGCTAGGAGCTATTTTCATTATCTATTGCCATCAGTACTGCTCGTATACTTGATTAATCGTATATACTTGATGTTGAGAGTGTCCTCCGGACGACACGACAGTTTTTTAAGCGTCCTCTAGTGTAAGGTATCTTAAACTGCTACACGAAAGAAGAGTTCTCGGAATAGAGCAAAGATGCTTGCTGCATTAGCATCAGTTATTTTACTTCATTTGAACTATGTCCAGTAGTTGATGTTTCATGCGGTTTATTGATGAAATTCTTCCTTGGATATTTTTACTCCTTTGAAACCGGCTTTTTTTGTCATTATGATTATTCATTACGCACGCACAACAAGAATGATGAATAATTTTTCCTACGAATGACGCAGGTCCCCCGAAATGGCCGCTGCTCGGAAACACACTTTCCGTTCTCCTGGATGACTTGTCTTTCCACGAAGTAATTCAGAAGACGTCCAAGATTTATGGTCCCGTTATGAGGTAAGAAATCCATCGATTTGACTGTTATTCTAAGCAATAAACTGGAACATGGTCCTGTTTTGTGTAGCATGAAATTTGGGCAGCTGGAATTTATAGTTCTTTCGGACTACGACATCACAAAAAATGTATTGGCTCGGGAACACGCATCATTGAGACCCGATGTTTTCAGCTCGCGTTACATGTTGAACTATGAGAACACTGGTGAGAATGTTTCTTCTTATGCACCAATAAAATACGAAGGGGTCTAAGATATGTTCTCGGAATACAAATTTTAACGGCATACGATATTGAGCTGAAAAACAAGTACAGTATTCAGAAAAAAATTGTTGGCGCCACAAAAAAACTAAAAGATTAGCTCTGTTTGACAATTTTTCAAAATATTTGTGCAAAAGTCACCCTAGCAGCTTTCTGCTCTTCACTCAAAAGATAAGGCGTCAATCTCGCAGATTTTTTGGTGTACGCCAGCTTTCCCTTCAGAATTTTTGAAATTGACATGGCATTAATTTTTCGAGGGTTGCTGCCAATGATTCATTAATCAACCCGCCTTTCACGTTAACAGCCGCCATTTGGGGTGAGAATGTTGCATCTGCGAATTAAAGTGGTAGAATTACCTTGAATAACTTGGAGAGACAATCATTGGAATTATCATCATTTATTTTGCTGATTTCAAGAATTCTGAAGGAGAAGCTGGGCTACACCATAAAAAAAAATTGTAAGATTTATAAGATGGGCCTCATCTTTTGAAAGCTGCCAGGGTGACTTATTAAAAAAATTACAAAAAAATATGTCAAAAATGGCTGAATGTTTTTCTTGTAGTGCCACAGAATGTTGTTTTCTGAACAGTAACTTTTTTCAGCTAATTCGTTCGTCGTTTCAATTTATTTCCTATATTAGAACGTTTTTAGATTTTTCAAATATGCCTTAGTTATTTATTATTGAGACTTGATTACGTTTAATTATTGAGAGTTTCAATTTAAAGATTCGTAACCAAATCGTAGCTCAAGCCGATCAAGAGCTATATCAGCTATTGCATTTTTGAAATCCATTTCTTTTTTTTTATGTACACTATTTGTACTTTCATGTGATTTGTAAAATGGAGCTTCATTTTTCACGATTTTCTGTAGGCCTCATACTGAGCTCGGGGACCCCGTGGAAGGAACAGAGGCGATTCACCCTGAGGACACTCAGGGATTTTGGATTTGGCAAAACCTCTCTGGAGGGTATAATTCTGGATGAGCTCAGGGAACTTGTGGCTGAAATCCGGCCTGAAGGAATTTCGAAAGATCAGCCGTTTGTTGCTGAACTTGATTCCTGCCTGAACGCAGCTGTCACCAACGTTATATGGTGGCTTGTGGCGTGTGAGTTGAACGCAGTGACATCTAGAGCACTTTCAGGGAAACGGGCGTTTTCTGTTTATGTATACAGGTGTTGCAGCTTGACGCGTCTTGAGCCTTGAACCATTTCACTTATACAGTACTGTATAGCGCTCCTTAATTTTTTTTTGACACAGTACTGTACTGTACAGTACAAGCCATCCCTTGAATATAGTGTGAGTTAAGAGGATCAGTTGTTCAGTGCAACAATATTTTCCACAGGTCCCATTATTGAAAGTGATACAGGTAGACTCTCTACAACGATCTGTTGTGTTTTCACTAGTGTAGAACAGATGGAGTCTTGGTCTCGATATGATTCTCTCCACATGTTTAAAGGGTTCTATGCAACTGAATTCTCTGAAAGAAAACATTTTTTCAAGCTCCATGAATTTAATGTAAAGAGAGTCCACCTGTATATATTCTATAGAAAAGGATTTTTGTCACCAGAAACCACTAATAAATCACTTGCAAAAATGGTGGGAGGAAATCATACTAAAATAGGCAAGTTTTTCCTAAATTCATATGTGTACCTCTCACTGAAAGAAATTTTCAAATTTTTTTTGCTTGTAGGAATTTTGAGAAAGATGGTCATCATATTAATGCATTAAATTTTTGAGGAACAGCTAGTTTTTAATTATTGCAGATGATGAGGTGCACTTCAATTCAAATTTTTTTAGCAATAATTTACATTTAGTTCTCGGCAAAATAAAGTTCTGTACCACTTCATGCATTGGAAAAATGTCTACACAAAGCCTGCAGCTGATTCTTAGCTTACCATTAAAACATAGGGTTATTTTTATTTCGTACAAAACCTGAGTTTCTTTATTTCACCTCCATTTTGTTCTCAGTCAGATTCACACAATAAATGCAGGAAAATCTCTTTACAACGAAGCTGTTGTGATCTGGAAAAATATTTCGTAATAACTATATAGATTCGTTGTATATAGCGATTCAAATATCACTAACGCTCTTTTTATTGGGTGTACGGACCTGAAAAACGAATTCGTTGTAAGCATTCTTTCATCAAAGTGAGGTTCCCTCCAACAAAATTCTCGTGTATTTTAAATGCATTCGTCCTGGAGTATGTCATGAATGCGTCTCAACATGGAAATTCGCCACAATTACAAGTGAATTAATATGATGCTATTTTTTCTTGTTCAGCCAAACGGGTGACAAAACATGACGAGGAATTCAAGAACATCCTGTCAATCATCGAGAAGATTATGGACTTCGGCATAATTAACGTGCTCACTCGATTCCCCATCATCAACGTTTTCGATTCGCCCACGCGGATCAATTGGCTCAAGGGACCCATGGAGCGTCGGGAGTACTTTTACTCGTACATGCAGGTACTGTACTAGTACAGTACCAGCAGTTCATTTGGAAAAATCTGCTGAGATATGAGACTGTGATCGCCGTTTAATTTGCGATTATTTTCCCAATGTCAGAAAGTTTTGGACGAGCACAGAGCCACCTTGAACCACAGTGAACCACGGGATTTGGTGGATTGCTATTTGATCCACCAGGAGAAACTCGGGGATTCTCCAGACAATTTCATGACAGGTGTGACTTTATAATGAGTTTTTTTTTTTGGAAATTTTTATTCGAATTTCTTTGTTGAAAGAAGGGTGTTTTACCTCGTCACAGTGGCTTTGTTGTCTTTGTCAGATTATTGTTGCTGGAGTTGAAGCATATGAGGTTTCTGTGACAGTTTATATGGAAAATGAAGAACACATTTATTGCAGGGCAGAATGCCAGCTTTAACTCAAACTTTTACTAAACCGGAACAGACTAAAATGTACAGAAAAACGAAAGAGTTTATGCAGACATGAGAATTTGAACATTTGACTTGAGAATATATCTGAGAATTGTGAAAAGGGAAATACTGTTAGGAACTGGGTTCAAAGGGTATTCAAAGCAATTGAATGTGAAATCTTGTTGCAAAAAAGTCATTGGGCTCAGTAAAAAACTTTTTGATGAGTATTGGGTTATAAAGGAATCCAAAAAAACAGTATCAATGGGGCTACTTGGCAGGAACCCAAAATCTGAATAACCAATTCTTTGTTGTAATTGGATTCTTCTGTGTTTTTTTTTTCAGAAGGCTTTTTTCATTCGACACTGCAATTCAAATTCTTCTTTTTTGAACTTTGTGACACTTTTATAATGGGTGAAGACATTTGAGAACAACGCAGCCTTTTTTATTTGAGGTCTATGGATAATTTTTTATAATCATAATCGGTTTTAATGTCAATGTTTTCTTGCTGTTTTTTTTAGCACACTGTGTATAAGACTTGTTTCTGCTCGCATTTGGGGATGGTGGAAGAAGTAATGTTGAAATGAGTTCTTTCCTATAATCTACCATGAAATCTTGCAACAAAGATACAGGGACCAGGAAAGATTTGTTTTGAAAATAAAATGTTCAGTATTCTGAAGACATTCAAATAACATTTTGCAGACACAAAAACTCCTTATTTTGCTAGCAATTATTTTTCAAAAAAGATTTGCTGTTGTAATGAGATTGTAATGTGCTACTGCATGAAAAATAATTTTGATAATTAAAAATATTAAGTTGAGAAGGGTTTGTGAGCTAGGAATCCGGAATAATCAAGTCTAATTTTTTTCAATACCTGAAATTTATTTAGTAGAAAAAACAGGAGTAACATCTGTTACAAAATTCGAAATGGATGTACAATATATATGCTGAGTAGCAACATTTATTGCATGGAATTAGTTCAGGTGAGTACATGCATCTAAAATTGCATAAAGTTGCCGCCCTGGAATCTTGGGAAGATTTCTGTTTCGATTGCCTGACATTTTTTTTTAGCACTTCAAGGGGATTTTTACAGCTATCTATTCGTTTATATTTGCCTCATGGCAACATAACCATGAAAAAATTATTACATTTAACTCTGTATTCATAAAGGCATTTTTTGTGCGAATTTTGGCTGCTGGAATGTACAAATTTTATTTTATTTCGTATAACCCCCCTTTCAAACAGAATAAGTAAAATAGTTTTATCGGTCAGTAGAACCAGGGACTGTGGGAATCGAATTGGGCTATTCCGAGTGAATTATGTTTAATCTGTCTTGAATAGATAACATGATAAAAGCAAGTATGGTCGACCTGTTTATGGCCGGTGCGGAAACAACATCAACCACTTTGCGCTGGTTTTTCCTGTACATAGTGGAACATCCCAAGGTCATGAGCAGGATTCAAGATGAAATCGACAACGTCATCGGGAGCCATCGAGCGCCATCTTACGAGGACCATGTCAAGTACTGTGTATATTAAAGCATACGAGGGATTACACGGTTCCGCGCGGAATCGTTCCGGCGCGGACTTGCAAGGATCTGCACACCCGGGATTTTTTTTAAACATTTGTTTCATGTTTAATAGTTCCAAGAAGGTAGACAGACGCTTTCTCTACGTAATCACCACCAATTTGTACACACTGCTCAGCCCTTTTGATCCATGTGCTGAGACAGGAGTGTTCAGTTGTTAACTTTTGAACCTCGCCCGGAGCAGCAGCAACAAGCTTTTCCCTGGTTTTCGAAGAGTCGGTCTCTCATAAGGACTCCATCAGCTTTGGAAAGAGCCAAAACTCAGAGGGGGCCAGGTGAGGGGGAGTAGGGTGGTGGTGTCAATTAGACATTTGGAGGCTCGATTCTTCCGGGCAACGGACCGTGGACTTCACCTTGTGGGCTGGGGGCATTGTCATGGTGGAATTAGCACTAGTTTCGACACATGGATCAAAAGGACTGAGAAGCGTGAGAAAATTGGCTGCGATTGCATTAAAAAACTGCCTGCCTAGCCTCTGTGATATCGGTGAACATGAGAAAAATGTTGAAGAAAAAAAAATCCCTGGTATTCAGATTATTTCAAGTCCGCATCGAAACGATTCCGCGCGGAACCATGTCACTCGTTGTATGGTGAAATGAGTTTGCGCGGAAACGAGTCCGCGGGAGGAATGGATAACCCCTCGTTTACCACACTGTATCGTATTCAGCCAACTACTGTTTGAGGCTCGGGTCAATTTTCATGCTTCACCTTGAAAAGAAAACGAATTAGGGTGGGAATTCAAGACTTACTCTTTAAACTCAGCTTTTTTTGCATCAGAGCAGTGTTATCAATTTTACTCCCATCGCGAACACATCTGAAATCAATTTATGACAAATTACTGTTAAAGTTGTGTAACATTTTTTTAAACGTCACGATGCTATGAAAATCTGGTCTTAACAAATATTTAAGATGTAATGCTACCATTTGTATATTTTGAATGGTTTTTTTACTGTGCCGCTTACCGTTGCGAGAATGCATAAATCTTGCCTCCAGATTTACTTCCTGCTTCTGAAGAGAGCAATTTTGAATCAATATGTACAGCTCACATCAGCAGCAACGTCAAAAAATACACGCAATATCGTGCGCTTTGCTTGGAAAAATCTTTGAAACCATAACATATGAAGCTCATTCTAAAATTTTAGAACATAGTCTATACACATACGAGCAGGGTTCTAACAAAAGTTATCGGAGTAGCAATGAAAACGGCTTACAGTTGAGCTGATCCAAATTTTTTCTTTAGGGAAAACATATTCTTTGGCACATGAAAAAATATCAGCCCTGTTTGACAAATTTTTTTGAATTTTTTTCATAATTCATTCTGGCAGACAGGGCTGATATATTTTTGTGTGCCAAAGAATATGTTTTCCCTAAAGAAAAATTTGTTTCAGGTCAACTGTAGGCCATTTTCATTGCTACTCCAAGAACTTTTGTTAGAACCCTCGTAAGTTCTGAGTGAACACAGGATACATTTAGATCCATAGGAAACGCGATCATGTACTGTACTAATCTTTCATTGTGAGTTTTTCTTGTTTTGTATAGCATGCCTTACACTACGGCGTCCATTTGGGAGCTGTGGCGAATCGTCACTATCACACCCATGGGTGTCAACAGGCAGACAACGGAGGAAATGATGATTGGAGGATTCCGTGTGCCCAAGGTAAGGCTTTCTATTCAAGTAGTAGAGCGTCCGCAGTGCGGACAAAAAAAAAAAAAAAAAAAAAAAACAATTGCAGAAGTAGGATTCAAACCCACGCCTGCAGAACCACACTGTGACCTGGACGCAGCGCCTAAGATCACTCAGCCATCCTGACAACTTAATGATAATTGATGCATTTTCAAGTAGGCAAATTAATTCAAGGTGCAAAAGGCCACAGACACACGTTACACAACGTCCTTATTATTCCTCCCCAGATCCCTGTAGGATCCTACTGGTTGTTCCTCCCACTGCGGATGTTAAAATGTACTCCAGGGCAGTGTTCGGCAGGAAATTTTTTGCTGGTCCAAGGGAAATTTTCTGCTGCATAATGTATTGATGAAAGTAGCCATGAAGTCTGTTATTTTTTCTGGAATGTCGGATAGACAATGGAAGTGGAAATTATCTGATGAAAAATAAAAGTTTGGTTTCTTCTGATAATAACACTTGGAAACAAATTTCCACCAGCTGAAATGAATTATTTAATTTTTTCATTGTGAGGAACAGTTTGTAAAGCCCACGTTTCTAATCTTTTTTTTCTTCAAACATTCCACTATATTGCTGTTTTTCATTGGTTCATAATTTTTGAAATGAAGCATAAACTTTTTAAATTCCTGCCATGAAGTCTTCCAAGTTTCAAGTAAAACTTTTAAATCAGCAAAATTTTATGAAACTTTGCTAGTCTGCAGACATTTTATGGGAAATTTTCCAGTCTGTAAAAACTTTCATGGAAGTTGTGCTGGTCTGTGGACCCAGAAAGGTTGGGACATACTGCTCTAGGGTAATGCATATAAAGAGAGGAAAATCCAAAAATTTCTCTCTCAAAATTATTGAAAAATTAGCTCAAATAACATGTACATATCTATGATCTTGATGAACCAAGTTTTAGAGTAATTTCGCCGAATTTTAAAGAAAAGATATTTAGAAAAAAAAAACGGTGGACTATCTCATTCTGAAAAGGAGTCTCTAGAGAAATATTTTTATGCAGCAAGTTTTAATGGTCCAGAGCTTCAGAAAGACCTGTTAGTACAGTACTATTATATTTGAATTGCGTGCAATTCTTGAGTGAATGTTGTCACACTTCCTTTTGAAATGCACGTGCAGTCTTTAAATGTTTTATTGCTCTTCCATTTTATTGGTCTTGAAAATAATAGCCCAAATGCTTTTTAACTTCAAGTTATTGAGGTTTGAGAGGAAATGCTTTTGGAGTAAAGAGACATAAGATTGCATTGGTGTTCTTTGGGGGATTCAAGCAAAAATAAATTTTGAAACAAGGAGGTTTATTAATTGCAATAGTTTGAGTTAGCCGAGTCCAACTGTAACAATAATGTTGGGAAGAAAGTTGCACATTTATTTATCATTTGTATTTTGAATGTCTTATGATTGGACATACGTTGAGAGCAGAAGATAAATTCGAATACGAGTTTCAGGTGAAATTCAAATTTTTTGGAACAGCATCTATCTCGCAATTAAAGTATTCCAACAAACCCGCGGTTAAAACCGAGTCTTTTTTTTTGTGTTTCAGGGAGCCAACATCATGTTACATCTGTTGACCATTCATCACAATGATAAAGAATTCGATTCTCCGTTGGAATTCAAGCCCGAGCGTTTTCTCAATGAAAAGGGTCAGATCACAGAGAATGCCCGGATCATGCCTTTCCAGTCTGGCAAGTCGTTCATTTTATTTAATTTTTGTTAAAGATTTTCGTCATTGTTCCAAGAATGATTTTTTTTCTTCTTTCTCGCACAGGGAAAAGACAATGCCTCGGAGAGAGTCTCGCCAGAATGAACGCTTTCTTGGCAGTCGTTTACTTGCTGCAATTGTTCTCCTTTAGCAAAGTCCCTGGAGAGACTTACAGTCTGCGGCCTCGACCCGGATCTTTCATCATCAATACGCCTCGAGCTTATAAAGTGCTTTTGACGCCGAGGCAGTGATTGTCATTTTGGCGCATGAAGGACGATTTTCTCCTGTAAGTCGTTCGGCCGTATATCTCATGATTTGCAAAAAGGCGATTGAGCGCAAATCGGTTTTTCGAGATATTTACTGTACAGTATTATAATATTTAATGTACTGTAGACTCTCGATGCAATGCACGTCAAGAGCAATGCAATTTATTTCTGCGTCCAGAGAGGGCGAATAAAACGTCGCATTTTATATTACGCTCGTTAATCGTACGTAAGCTTCCGTCCTTCGGCTAATTCTTATCCTCTGACCTACTTAATGCCTTTTTAAAGCGTAAAATTACATTTTCCGCAAAAATGAGTCATGTTTGAATTTTCATTTCGCAAAAATGGACGAAGTGCAAGGAAGGAAAAAAGTCTAAACTTTCCCAAGCTTCACCCTGTGTGAAACACTGCATTTCTTTTTATTTTGGCTCAGGTACGAAGGATATTTTGTCAAAATTCCCCTGCTTCCATGTCAAACAATTAAATTTGAGAGCCAAGATTATTCTTGTAACAGACGACTTGGGTTTTCCATTACAATACTTTATTTTGATTAAATTACCGAGCGCCAATTTTTCAACTTAAATTGGGGTGCGTGTCATAGAATCAGCGGCCAAAGCAGCCAGAAAATTTCATACTAAATATGAAACAAAGGCGGACAAAGTAAATTTGACTTCACATTGTACTGTATTTGGGTTTAAATTGAAAATTTCAACCATCTTAATTCCTGATTACCTTAAATTTCACGAATAAATCACTTAAAGCCGAAGTGCGTGTTTTGCATAGGAAAACATATTTTTCTGAATATTTTGAGTGATTTGATGTTGAAATTTCGAGAATTATGACAAGTTAAAATTTTTAATCCATGCTCAAAAACAGAATGAGGACAATTTCAGTTTGTCTGCCAAATGACCCGTTTACCTTTAAGTTTTAAAATCTTTACAAAATACAGTGCGAAAAAATTTCACCCAATTTCTGTGGGAGTTGCTCAAGTTACTTGCGCAAAAAAGACAAATTATGCGCTTTAATAGAGGTGCCAACCAATTGAGGTGTCCTGTCTTCCTCAAGGGCGCGTGACATGAAGAGTTAAAGACAAGTCATAATTTTCACAAAAAAAGATTGTTCAGCAACAGCTAAGGAGAAATGAAAGAAACAACGCCTTAGAAAAGTATGCTCATATATGTCCCTCACAATTGTCAAGTACAACACGCGTAATGCAAGCAATCGTTACAGTGCCCCCGACTAAATCATCTCTAACTCGCAGATCTCGGCCAAGGTGGAAGAAAACGTCCCGCACCACAGATCCGTTCCCCTCAACGTTCAACCGGACGGTCCACAGAAGGAAGGAACAACAAATAAAAAATGAAAAGACAAAAATACGGAACGAGAAATTTCTTTCAAAAAAAAAAAAAAACGACAGAAAAAATCCCTCTCATTGCCCAGAAAATCACGCGTTCGTGCGTGGATTCCCATTCACGAGCTTTTAAAACGTGCAAGTTTTACAGAACATCAGGACCACAGAAAAAAAAAAAACATCGCGTAACTAGATTCTCTTCCCTTTCTGACTGGTCAGCAAAATAAAGTCAGTCTTTTATAAATAAAAAAGTATTCCAAGTCAATGCGTGAACATACAGTACTCACAGCTGGGGGGAAAAAACACGGTCGAAATAGAATAGAGCAATTTTTCTGGAGTTCCTCCAACCATTGGTCACAGTGAAAGCTCAATAAAAGCATGAAGAATAGGCACTTCTCCAAATTTAACTTGGCCCTTGCTCACAGTCAGTCAGAAACAGGACGTGAAAATATGCGGGGATTTTTTTTGTCGAAAAAAAAAATCCTCGTCCTGAAACGTTAACATTTCTTTTCTTTTTTTTCCTTTTGACTACCCTTCCTCTCAAACTGGATCCAGTTTCTGACAGTTGAACATCGCAGACTTTCAAGTAACTCAAAATTCTTTCTGGGAATGACACAACCGGAAATATACGCAGGAAAACAATACATCCGCATAAAACACAACATGCCTCATATTCCAAAAGAAGAAGGGGATGATGATAACCACGCGTGGGGAAGAGCTTAATTACAATTCCAGCGGCGACTCATTATCATGGAAACACTTCAATAAAAATAATCAAAAGTATGTAACGGCTCCCTCAGATTTCTAGCTCTTCAGATCAACCTCATACGCTCCGAGCATTTCTAAAGAAACATACATTTTCACCACACACAAAAACAAAGAAAGAAAAAAAAAAACCTGAAGCTCTTACAATGACATTCCGGAAGCCAAATAAAACGCAAAGAAACTAATTTGTTTTTCTTTTTTGAAAAGAACTCACCGGTCCGGCACTAGTAGATTCGACAGACAAGACAGTGAAGACACCTTTTGGAGAGAAGCGGGTCTCAATCCTCAGTTTCCTGGTCCGTAGTACTCAGTCATCAATGAAGACCTCGTGTTGAGTTTGATCACATGTGCAGAGACGTCGCCGTGTAACGCACCTCCCTTCTAAACATTCTCCATTGCGTGGGACGATACTGGAAAAAGCAAACAAACACGACAGTGTCAAACAGTTGAGAAGAGATTCGCGTTTTCCTTTTATTTATTTTATTTTTTTTGACAACAAATGGGACTTGAATCTCGTTGGGGGCAATTGCGAATCTTGTTCGAAAAGAGTCATAAAACTGAACCCCCCCCCCAACGAAAAACACCACCAAGTCGAAACTAGAACCTTCACAAAAACTGCGTCATGAAAACTTTGAAGTGATAGTATTTTACCTACACTCGATTAATGGCCTTCTCGGACAATACAAGCACACCCAGGGAATAGATCCAGTCCATTAACCAACGCACAATTATCTTCCATTCTTGATGATTAAATTCAAAATTTTCGCTTCTTCCGTACCAAGCACATATTTACTTTGTACTTCAGTTAATTTAAAAAAAGGCATTAAGGGAATTTCAAAAGGTATCTCGGAAGAACTGTGCTATTCAAATGGATGTAATGAAATATTTTCCTCAACTGGAGGATGCAGAAAATAAACAAGCAGGATATGCTCTTTTGGCAAGAAGAGGAGTCCAAAAAAAAAAAACAGATATATTAAATATGTAAAAGGAAAAACAAAATTAGTCCATTTTAGAAATCTAATCGGAGTACGTGTAAATTCATAGTAAAATTTATTTTTGACTTCACGTAAATGTGAGTAACTCAATTTATTCAAGAAAGGATTATACTTCAAAAATTGACATTTTCAAATTTTCCGGAAATTTTGGACAAGCGTGCAAATTCGAGACATTGTCCAAACGTCGGGGCAGATTTTTTTTAAAATTCAACTCGTATCAATAATTCACATCGTTCGCATTTATCCAGACATCACTGCATTCTACATAATTCCAAGTGTCACTTGGTTAAAGTGATTCGTCATACGATAACGGAAGTCTCTACTCCAACTAATCCGGGTCCATTAACCGAATCATCACTTTATCTTTCATAGTTTCTCTCTTCTGTCTCTTCTCCAAATTTCCTCCATCCAAAGAAAGAAAGAAAGAAAGAAAGAAAACCAAGATTCGGAAAAATAAATGAGGATAAATGAAAAAAAAAAAACAATGACTGACCCGGATGAGGAGTTGTCCGGACCTGGAATGCGGGAATTTGTACGCATACAGGACCCACAGTGCAGTCGAGACGAGCGTGATGGACACCAGGACGCCCATGACGATGCCGGTGGTGCCGACGTAGGGTTCGGCGTCCCCCTCGTCGTCCTCGCGTGGCGCCTTCACCTTCTCCGGGGCGGCCGTCCTGCCGCTGCCCGACACTGGCGGCGCCTGCGTCGGCTTGTACTTGGGGATCACTGCCGCTGCGATTTAAAAAAATAAAAAACGTACTGATTAATTATTCCTTCCTCCGAATCGGAAATGAGCCCGTTTCAATAGTGATGGTATGGGAAAAGGTCACAAATATATAAGGGTGGACTTTCTCTCTCTCTCTTCCTCTCTAAAATGAAATTCAAATGACCAGAAACAGCTTTGTTGTAGAGAGAATTTCGTTGTAAAGAATTCCTATAACATGGGGAGAACCCCAATGGAACAAAAGAAAACTTTAAAAAAGTATTCAGTACAGTACAGGTGGTACCTTGCAATTTGACCCTAATTCATTACCTTAAATAGGGTCAAATTGCAAATTGGTCAAATTGTGAGACACCCCATAAAATTTAAAAATATAAGTAAAAATTTCAAAAAATTGGCCAAAGCAGGTTGAATTGCAGGGCAAGGATCAAATTGCAAGACAACCTCCCTGCAAATTTGACTGTCAAATACTCAAATTGCAGGGAGTTGAATTGCAAGGTACCACCTGTATAACAAACTTTTCTGAAATCCCCAAAGTTAGTTGTAACAATATCATAAAGTATAAACAGTAAGCATATTCTTTCTTCAGTTGTTGTATATAGCAACTCATGCTAATGCTTGACTCAGAACACATTATTTAGTACAGTGTTACAGTACAAAAATATGGATGCGATAAACTGTTGCAAAATTACAGGCAACACCTATGTAAAGAAAACAGCCCCAACAATTCTGACACATTTGTTATTGATTGATCGATTGATCAGCAAGCTTTATTTTCTGCTTTTCAGCATTCACAAGGTTCAAGCAAATGTTCCCACACCCAAACCCCCCTTCCCTCACCACCCGCATTGATACAAAAACATTCCATCACATCAGAATGGAAAAATAGAGAAATAAGCTGTGCATGAATATTAAAAGAAAAGAAAATACCCCACAAAATATACAATTACACAACTGTTGTAATGCATACACGTTATTCCCCTCCCCAATAACAAGAAAATTTCAGTGACAAAAATTGAAGCATAAGGCAATTATTGAACCCATATTGAAACACACAAGTGTTTAGCGTGCTTACAGATAAGTTTTAGTTGATTAAACAAGTTGGAGAGAATCTTTGATGATAAATTGTATAAAGTTAATAGTTCATATCCTCTCTGATTTTAGATATTAAAGGGAAAAACACTAGGCTTAGCCTCTTGAAGATGGTGAAAGTGTCCTTCAATTAAAGACCCACCATATCTTTTCGCGCAATGCGTCCATTGGTTGGGTTTATCTCTTAGTTTCGTCATTCCGAATTGTACGAATTTTCCACAAATTTTTTTAAATATCCTGTAAAAATTCTCGTGGGCATAGAATCAATAGTGTAACTGGTTCGAATGAGCTCCTGCGATGGTAGGAAAACAGCAAATAAAAAAATGCTACGAATTTTCAAGGTAAGGAATTTATTACCATATTTACTCCGGTAAATCGCGGGAATTTTCCTAAACGTTGGCCCAGGAAAAAGCTCGCACTGTTCAAATACGGATACAAATCATTTAGTTAAAAGTGGAATTTCCCCAAATTTATTGTGGTAAAACGAACAGGATTTCTTGCACAAAGGCATTGAGGAAAGACGGAAAATTGGGGATCAGTGATGTCATACGTTTTCCCCAGTCTCACTCTTGCCCTTGCAGAACTTGAAAGAAAAAAAAAATGCACATTTGTGAACCGATTCTTGGTCCATTTATTTAATAAGTATTAACAATTCGTCATTCCGAATTGAAACGTTATCAATTCCGAGTGACGCAACCAAGAGATAAACACACTGAAGAGACGATTTGGACAACAACAACAAAAAATCTCTGCAAAATCACTGCATCTCTGGCGTGTCATTCATCACAGGTAATTTCAACAATTTTAAATATAAAATGTAGCAATTGGATTTTTCGATTAGTAGGACGATGACAGCAACTCTATTACCTACAACGCAGTCATGTTACAACTGACAGTCCCAAAAAAATCGGCATTATCGTCTTCAACGAAAAAAATAATAATAACAGGAAAAAGTGTTTATTGACAAATGGCAGTGATAATTTTTTCTTTACGCATAAATGTGATCTACCAGCAAATTCTTCGGACCTACAGGAGTGAAAAGAGAACTTCTGAAATACAGGAAAAAACTGGTGGAATGCCGATTCTTCGCCGTTTCTTCAAGGAAACGTCCACAAAAAAAAATTGTAAATGCATCGGTTAAAATAGTGCGAATAACTGTGTTTATTTATTTATTTATTTGACGTCATAACACAGAAATTAGTACCATATTTATAAACTTTCATGCACAGTGAGTGTCTGAAGTCAGAAAGCGTTGAAATATTTCGTAATGTATGAAAAGCCAGATTTGCAGGGATTTTCCCAAGATTATTCCTTTTGTCCAAAGCGTCTCTTTAAATTGTCTTTCTGATTTCGTCACTCGGAATTTATTAAATTTCAATTCGGAATGACGAATTGAATACTTTTCCAATACAGTACAGGTGAACCTCGATAAGTCGAGCCTCTCTAAGTCAAATTCCTCCCTAAGTCGAATTTCACAAAGTCCCAGTCTGAATCCCCTTAGAATCAATACATTAAAAACCTCCCTAACTCAAATTTTTTTCTCTAAAACCTCTGCAAGTCAAATTTTTGGAGGCCTTCCGGTTATTATTTCCTTGAAATAAGAAAGAGAAAATTATTAAAACAAATACAGTAATTCGATGCATCTTGAAAGGAATTGACAGACAAAAATAGCAAATGAACCCCTCCAAGTTCAGGAAGGTGTAAACTGATGAAGGAGCTAGTTTTGGCCCAGAAAATCCTCATTCTGATTTCCAACACTTTTTTTCATTTCTCCTCGAAACAGAAGTGTTTGTATCCTCAACTGAAAACCTCCAAAAATCAAAACCTCCCTAATTTTTTTCATTGTCCGTATAAATTCGATTTATACAGGTTCAACATGGACACCCAACCAATAGACGCATCGCACAAAAATAAAATTCGCAGAATCTCAGCAAAATTGATGTCATTCGTCACGGAACACTCAATTAAAAAAAAAAATTACGCCCCATCCAAAACATAATCGGTTTACAATTGTAAATTTTTTCAACATCTACAAGAAAAGGTGTAAGATGGGAGAAAACGCATGAATCAGTGATGCCCACTTTTCCCGTCTTCCCTCGTTGCCACACGCCCTTGTATAAGACCCGTCCTTTTACCTCAATAAATTCGGGAAAATTTCGCTTCAACCAAATAATTTACATTTGTATTTGAACAGCACCAGCCCTTTCCTCGCACAACATTCAGGAAAATTTATGCGCAGTACGAGAGTAAGAACGGTAATAAATTGTAAGATGTCCTTCCTTGCCTCAGATATCATAGCGTCATCGTGTTCGCTAATTTTCTGACAATCATAGGAGCACATTTGTACCAGTCATTCTTCTCCCACGTGGAGTATTTTACAAAATATTTAAAAATGGCGGAAATGCGGAAAATTTGGAGTGAGGCAACCAAGAGATAAACCTCAACTGATAGACGCATTGCAAAAAAGACAATATTCCCTAAACCCCTGCAAAATTTGTGCGTCATTCATCATGGGAAACTTACGAATTTTTTTCTGGATTTACACCACTTTCAAAACATTGCATTTAAATGAATACTGTAGTGTACTACCTCAAGTTTGCAAAAAAAAAATTCGTGTACGCCATATGGTTGACCTCAGACTGAAAACACGCAGGTGATTCATACAATGTACTGTACTTTTCATAGATTTCAAATTTTCGGTAAATTTTAATCGAATGTTTCTTCTTCAATTTGCAGTGATGAAACCAAGAGCAAAAACCCAACCAATAGACGCATCGCACAAAAAGAAGATTTGCAGAATCCCAGCAAAATTTAGGACATTCATCACGAAACACTCAAATTTTTTCCAGATTTACGCCCCTTTCAAAACATAATACTGTACAATATTTAATGAATAATGTACTGAACTACCTAAGGTTGATCTAATATACATGTAATAAATTCCTAATAAATAAGAAACTAAAAATGGAAAAAAGATTATTCATCATTTTCAGTTTTTACTTATTTCTATTCTTACAATTTTATTCCTGTAAAATAAAAATAAAAAAGAAATAAATTTAAAAAATAAATAAACTTATATTTGTTAATTACAAATTCTAAAAACAAATAAAAAGAAAACAACACTGTTCCAACATGAATTGAAAATTGTATACACTTTTTTACACTTTACTTGCTTCTTTGGATACAAATAGTAGCAAAAAATAATTTGGTCGTTGATAATACTGTATGTGGATTTCAAATTCCCCGCTAAATATAAGCCGCAAGTAATCAAAAAAGTTTTCTTTCGCCTCTAGAAACATTTCTTCAGTGTTGCTTTTCTTGATTTAAGCGTCTTCTTTCAAGTGTAAGACGAAGTAAAAGTTTACTCGTTTTTCTCAAGTGTAATCATGTCACTTTCTTCGAAGCTTCTTGAAATTGTCATTTATCATTAGATTTTATGAATTTTCACGTTTTTCCAGCAAGACACTTTTTGCTGTGAGTTGTGATTCATTCTAGCGCTTGAAACAATGAAAAAAGGTAAAAATCTGACTCCCAGGAACCGTATTCAAAAAAAAAAAAATTCGTGGATTTCAAATTCCCCGCTAAACATAACCCGCGAGGAATCAAAAATAAGTTTTCGTACGCCTCTAGAAACATTTCTTCAGTTACTTTGCGAACGGGTTCGGGACAGGTTTCGAAGAATGCCAACTTTACAAAATAAAAATGAATACTGTACCTATTCACAACACGCCGCAAAAATTTTACCCGCATAATTCATTTTAGACAAGTTTGACACTTTCTTTTTATACCCGTAACCATCATGAAAAACGGAGGAAAATTGTGCTAGTGCGACCTTTGACGACCTAATGTGATTCCCGATGATTCACTCGACATTCCAGAGAGAACGCAATCAGTACCAGAACAGTACTTTCTCACGACC